CTGTGATCAGCTGATACATCTCCGTAGGATCGGCCGCAGGGCCACAGTAGGCGTCTTGCATATTTGTACCAATAGGTAATATCACCCAGAAAGCCGTTTTTAAGACGCTTCAATACAAAAGGGCGCAGGTTGGAACATGTTACGGTATTACCTCCTTGCCAGAGACAAAGCCAGCTATTGGGTTACTTCCGTTACTCTGTCTACTTAACTGCTATGATCCTAAGTCAAAAGGCCCTCAGCCTGCGAACAGCCACAGTCTGCCATTTAGATGAATATGCCATTGCATCCATCTAAATTGAGCCATTACTAGGCAAGGTAGCACTCCTTTCTAACATCAAAAGTTACGGGAAGAGTGCGGCTATCAAGATTGCGAATGAAATGAAGGCGAGCTCCCAGCTCTACCTGTATATGTTACAATGCACCACTCTGGCGTACTGGGAATGCGTACCGAAATTCCAGCCGCCCACCTAACTGATGCGATCAAATGACGACATGGGTGCGCGCAGGTAATCATTGAAGTCTCGCGGTGCGACGATGGCTTTGTCGGATAGCCGCCTTTGTTGGGTCTTGGAGTAAATGAATCATCCTACTCATACATACACCCTTTGTATTGGAATTGAACTGTGGTATTTCACTACGATACGTTTCCAACTCTGGGGAGATACTCCTGCTCAGGTGGAGTACACCGAGACGTTTTAAGTCCACCGTTCGAGGTCAATCTCGCAAGCAAACCCGTAGCTAATTTCTGGGTGTTTCGGATATTGGCCCAGGTCGGCATACTATCCTGGCCTGGCGCGCCAGGCCCGTCCTGAGGAAGCCAAGAAGATGAGCCAGCTTGTGACGGTCATATGTGGAAGCCCCGGTCACGACAACAACCCTCACAACGATGTCGCGGCCTGTTGGATTCAGCTCCTGACGTGTAGGCCTTTCGGCTGCCTTATCGCACGATACAGTCTCAAACTCTCGACCCACGTACGCTCGGCCAGGTCAGTGCTTTGACGTAACGGCTTCGGGCGCAGCCGGGATCTGCAGAGAAGGGACTTTCGGTATGTAGGGCGGGAGAGAATGGAGTCATTGATACGCCACAATATGGGATGTTTCATATGCGTACTGCCTAGTCTTATATGTGTAATGGCTCTCGGGGCCCATCTTGTTTCTTGTCTCTCACCCGGTACCCTCGGTCAGGGGACGCGCGTGCCGCGCTTCTTGTGACACGACTGGCTGGTCGCCAGATCACGAACTGTACAAGGGTCTTGCAACCCAGCTGCAAGACATTCATCACCAGAGTTCAAGTTCAGCAGAACGCCACGACAGCTCTGGGCAACCACCAGCCGTTATTGGAATGGCTAAAGAGCGTGCCGAGGATTACTGACTTTATCGCTATGGAGGGCTGACTATACAGCGCTCGTACCGCAGCATTGGAGCAAAAGGTTCGGCGTACATGATCAAAGTACGATTTGTTCAGCTCAAATCAGCGTGGCAAATGCCTCCACGAAGTTGGTGTCCGAGTCTAGCAGCCGCTCGGCACTCGGCAGACGAAAGGTAATGGCTTCGTGTGGGCTACCCGTTCCCACGCGTTATTTCCATCTCCTTACCCACTTTCCAGGTCCAAAATTGGCCATGGTCTCAGCTTTGTACTGGGCATACCGCAATGCTGAAAAGACGGAAAGCCGCTGCACAAGGCAATTAATTTACTCAACGAGTATGGTAATGCTACTCTCAACTAATTGGCCTGATGTAACGACATACAGGGCCGGTTGTATGTGGTGAAATGTGTGTATGTCGGAGCTGTGTGTCTGTTGCCTGGCCATTGCACCTGGCGGGAGTACGGCCCTACTTATGCCGCCCGCCTGTATGTATGTATGTATGTATGTATGTATGTATAGCGTTTTACGTCCGGAATATCCTCATCAGGGCGAAAGACGCGCTAGGCTAGAGTAGATACAAGAGATGACCGCGAAGGTGTGGTAAAGGCCAGCCGAAGCCCGCCCTTCACAATCGGGGCTCTATCCCGGATCTGCCAACAGTCCGTTCCTAGAGCCTGCCTCCCGCACGACTCAACCACACTCTCATAGCGCTACCCCATCTAGCTCCTCGGAGATCAGGGGTTCAGGTTCAGGGCCCGATCCCCCGTCAGCGGGTTAAGATGGCGCGGGTGTTAGCCCGTCATGTCAAACAGCGTTTTAGTCTGCGCAAGGGTGCTGTTTCCCAGTGTCGATACGGACTGATCCCTCTCTCGGCATGCCACCCGCCTGGCCTGACCGAAAAACACCATCACAACGCTAAAAAGCATTTCCCTACTTTAGACCGTTAAAATATTCATGACTAGTCTAAGCAAAATAGTATACATTTGTAACGGAACCTATCAGGGTCCTAAGGTTTGCTGTTGGTTTGGTAGTGAGGTCGGCCGTCAGCAGTAATGATTCACAATGAGTCCGTTGGGAGGGTTTAACATCTCATTCAGGTGAATACTTAGCTTGATCACTGAAGATCTGGTCGGCCAACGGGTCATCCCGCGCCTTGCGTGTCTGGCTGGGTTGATTTCCTTCCTGCAACCAAGCGCTTGAAACAGGTACACACACAGAGACGCCCTTGATCAGAGCATTTGATCATGCTGCGAGCAACCCCCCACAGACGGAGAAGTCGAGGTAGATGCAGAAGATCAAGACGAGTTGTTTTTGGTCCCTTCCCTTTTATAGAAGACGCTCACAGACGATTCCTGCGATATATATTCACCGACACTCGTCTCATCACTGTCGACAAAACAAACCAAGAAGTGTTCAGCGTTCTTCTCTCCCGAACCAAGTAATTCTCTTTCCTGACGTGCCGCCGTATTCAACCTGCGTCCTCGGGATTTCTCTTCGCCAGGTATCTGCAATCTTCTCACCAACGCAAGGCCATTATAAGTCGATCCTCTCTGGCGCAGGAAATTGTTTAATCCATTTCTATATCATCCAATCGCCTTTCACATCCGCAGGCTCAGCTATCAGATTGCCAGCTCCATATACCAGACCTCAACTTATTCGTCAACACGAGTCAACACGGCAGTCGCCGCCCAAGCTCGTCACCACATGCAACTACGTCTACGTGAGTGACGCGAGCCCCACGAAACACAGCACTTGCCCCGCACACTGAGCGACCGGGGCCAACTTCTGCGGTGTCACGTCACACACAGAATATCGACATGCTCGAGCGGAGAACTGCCCTATCCGTCGGCGTTGGCGCCGAAGAACGAGTCCCACTCCACGGCCCCCTGCACTATCTATGCTGCCCTTCGCGCTGCCGCTGCTTCGATAAATGGGCTGACTATGGCGCGTCCATCAAGGTTGGCGATGGTATGTCGTGCCCATCCTGCGCTGCCGCCTGCCAGGCTAGGGTGGACACTGGGAAGAGACGCAGCCACGTCGGGCTCCTTCTGCCAGATATTGCGCTGCTGGTTCGGGCACATCGGGATGGTGAGCCAATTGGACACATCATCGCCAAGGATGTGGCCGCAGCGCCTGATTTCCTTTCATTGCGGGTACAAGTCTTCGTGTTCACAGTCCGAGGCGACTCACCAGCTCTTTGCGAGGGCTGTGCCTGCTCAGGGCGGGACAGTCATCTACGTCGACTTGTCCAAGTGGTGTTCGTGGAGCAGCCAGGTCGACGTCCATGTCCGTATTCCTTGCGATGGATCGGCCCAAGACTTGAAGAAGAGGGTTCCAGGGTTTCGCAACGGCTCAGCGGAGGATCCTATTATCATTGATTGCGCACTGACGTCCCATTGGATTACCAGACACAACAGGGCATTTGGACGCTCTACCTGGCCCTCGTTTACCCACTACGTATGTGCTTCGAGATGGTCCGACATATGGCTTTACGAGTGTAGAGGTTCTGCGCGAGATGCAAGGCTCAGTTTTCTTCGGTCTGGTGCTCATGATGTGGATGGTCAATCTTCTGCTGGATCGATGGGGACGTGTGGAAGGCAGTCTGGTTGGGAGGGTCTGCCGTCCCGACGGCGCACATGGCTGCGTGGCTTCCCAGGAAAGCTGGCATGCACGACGTCGCGGCCGCTTGACAAAGGACCATGAACGTGGACGCTATGTGGCTGCAGGCAAGTGACAGATTCGATGGCGCAATCGGCTTTGAGAGAAAGACAATACGCCCAAGCGGCAAGTATTTGTATTTCATTTGCGGCGTGTTTGTCGACGGTGTCGATGCGTGACAGGGACGGCGACGGCGTTGCCCAAACTGGACATTACGAGCGAGCTGGGGCTTAGAAATCGACTTGTCCAGGGCATTCTCCTTCCAGGTTGCTGCCCGTGGAGCAGTAGCCGGCCGCTATAGAGCGGCCCCTATAAAATCCACGCAGCGAGAGCCCGCCCTCCTCTGCTGCCGGGCGCCATCACGTCCAGCCGTGGCGCAGACTCGCCGACTTCCGCGTCTCGTCCCCCCTAGGACCCGGACCTTTCTTGCCTGGCCAAAAAGCCGCCCCGCCATTGCGACATCGCAAACCTCGACCCTTCTACAAATCCCACCACCAACGCGCGCGCCCCCGTCTAGACAACGACCGCGAATTGCAAAAAGCACCGGCCGTGCCACCCCCACGACGACGACGACTTACGAGACCCCGGCTCACGCGGCTCTCGGCATATAAACGCCGTCTGCGCTTCCGTACGTAGACACGAGCGAACAAGACAGCGAAAAAAAGCGAGAGAGCCCGAGCTTCCTGCCTCGAGAACCCTCGCCTACATCGCCGCTGCCCGCGACGAGACGGAAATCCGCCAAACTGTTCGCCTCACGCTTGTTCGGGCGGACGCTACGGTCGAGCGCTGGGCTATCCATTGCGGCGGCCGCGACAGCGTTTCAGAAGACATCCGCCACGGGAGTGCAGCCTGCCGAGCTCGGAGTAAGAAGGATGCACAGCAAGGTCGTCAGTACGTCGGGTTCCCCCCTCGTTGCCCCCCTCGGACATTTTGCTGCCGCTGTTGTTTCCCCATTGTTGTAGACGCGAGGCGGTGATGCTGACATGGAATTGCAGTTATCGGGTCTGGGCCCGCGGCCCATACCGCGGCCGTGTACCTGGCCAGAGCGGAGTTGAAGCGTGAGTACCTGCGCCTCGATAGATCAGTCGGAAGAGACATTTGGCTGACTGAGGTGCGCCGATGCAGCCGTCATGTATGAGGGCTTCATGGCCAACGGTACCGCCGCCGGTGGGCAGCTGACCACGACGACCGAGGTCGAAAACTACCCGGGCTTCCCCAAGGGCATCATGGGCCAGGAGCTGATGGTACGCTTCTTCTCTCCCTCTTTTCACCTCCCCCTTCCCCGGTCCAAAGAATACCCTTAGAATATGGCACATGACGCAAAGTTGCTGACACAGTCCCTCTTCTCCCACAGGACAACATGCGCGCCCAGTCTGAGCGCTTCGGCACGGAAATCATCACCGACACCGTCACCAAGCTGGACCTCTCGGCGCGGCCCTTCAAGTACTCGACCGAGTTCAGCCCCGAGGAGACGCACACGGCCGACGCCGTCGTCATCGCGACGGGCGCCTCGGCGCGCCGCCTCAACCTCCCCGGCGAGGACAAGTACTGGCAGAACGGCATCTCGGCCTGCGCCGTGTGCGACGGCGCCCTGCCCATCTTCCGCAACAAGCCCCTCTACGTCATCGGCGGCGGCGACTCCGCCGCCGAGGAGGCCACCTTCCTCACAAAGTACGCCTCCAAGGTGGTGGTGCTCGTCCGCCGCGACGTCCTCCGCGCCAGCAAGACCATGGCCCACCGCCTGCTCAACCACCCCAAGGCCGAGGTCCGCTTCACCTCGGCCGCCACCGAGGTTCGCGGCGGCGAGGACGGCCTCATGAGCCACCTCGTCGTCAAGAACTCCGCTACCGGCGAGGAGGAGGTCGTCGAGGCGAGCGGCCTCTTCTACGCCATCGGCCACGACCCCGCCACCGCCCTCGTCAAGGGCCAGCTCGACATGGACGAGGACGGCTACATCAAGACCAAGCCCGGCACCACCATGACGAGCATCGAGGGTGTCTTTGCCGCCGGCGACGTCCAGGACAAGCGCTACCGCCAGGCCATTACCAGCGCCGGTAAGTTTTCTCTTTACTCCCTCCCCCATTTCAGTCTGTCGTTAAACGTTTGCTGTGGACACGTGTGCTGACCCCCCCGCCAGGTACCGGATGCATGGCTGCCCTCGAGGCTGAGCACTTCCTCGCCGACCAAGAGCATTCGTAGACAGACACGAAAAGTACACAGACATAGACGCAATTTTGGATGCAGAGATAGAGAGACAGACAGAACCGTGTCTTCCAATACAGTATAAAAGTCCCCCATGGCGAAGATCAAAGCTTACTCGTGAAGAGTGACAGCATGTGCTATTTGCGTAGCTACTGTAAATACCAGGCAGGCACTGCATCGTCCTGCACTTTTGCGCACGCGGCGCATAAAATCCTGTCCGCCGACATATCTATGGATATCTGTCGGCCAGTCCAAATTCCCACAACGCTCGCGAGCCGTCCCAAATGCCGGCTCGACATGCGACAATTAACCCGCGCGCCAAAAACATGCCATTACGTCCCTGTACCCATACAGTAACGCCCAACAACGAAGCAGTTCGCAACAGATGTACGGATAACTTTCTCCTCAAGAGCGCCGTTTTTTACTCCAACTCCAGGACAGCCGGGGCCGTCACCGTGGTGCCCTTGAGCTTCTCGAGGCCTTCGCCGCCCTGTGGAAATATTGTTAGCTAGGTGCAACAAAAATGCAATTGAAGGAGGTGAGAACATACGTAGCTGATGAGGGGAGAAACCTCAACACCGCCCTCGGCGACGACGGTGGCGCCGGCTGCCTCCAGCCAGCGCTTGCCCTGGGCCATGACATCGCGCTTGCTGGTGTCGGGGTCGTCCTCACCCTTGCCCCGGGCGTTCTTGAGAGGAGAGAACTCGTCCTCGCGACGGACCTCCATGCATGCAAACTTGTTAAGGGGCAGCATGTTGAAGACGTCAAACACGAACTGCTCAAGCTTAATGCCGTTGGGCGACTCGGGCTTGACCGTCTCGCCCGTCTCGACGTCGGCGTAGGGGATCTTCTTGCGGGCCACGTGGTGAGGCAACTTATGGGCCCACTGGGGGATGGACTCGAGGAATCGGAACGAGTAGTAGTGGTTGACAATGTTGGCGGCGCGGAACTTGAGGACGCCGGCTTGCTTGGGGTCCTGGGCCTCGGCCGTCTCCTTGTCGATCTCGGAGTACTCGACGACGTCCGGCTTGCCGTTCTTGCACAGAATCAGACCGACCGACTCGGTGGCGTTGCGCTTGCGGACGACCTTGGTGGCAATGTCGACGTCCAGGGCAGCGGCGAAGCCGATGAAGACGGGGTCAGCGACCTTGACCAGGCAGTTGTCGACGCAGTAGGCGTGAATGTGCTGGATGCCGCGCTTGCGCATGTCGTCAAGCACGCCGGAGAGGACCAGGGCCTGGTAGATGCCGCCGTTGCCATCTGGGGCGACGGCAACCTTGCCCTTGCTCTCGAGCAGGATCTTGCCGTCGTTGGAGATGCAAGGCAGGACGCCCTGCTCAAAGATCTTGATGTTGGCGGGATCCAGGCCAAAGTAGTTCTTGGACTCGAAGAACTTTTGCGTGGGCTCGCGGGTCGGGCCGCTGGTCATGACGTACCAGGGCACGACGACCGAGGCGCCACCGGCCTTCTTACTGGCGAGCTCCTGGATCTTGCGGATGCGCTCTGCCTGGATCTGGAAGAGGGGCTTGTGGGAGGGCAGGTCGATGTCGAAGCAGCCCTTGGGGTCTGAGCTGCCGAGGCGAGTGCCCTGGCCACCGGCCATGAGGACGACGGCGACCTTGTTCTGGCCGATCAGGTCGATACCCGACTCATACCACGTGTTGATGTCGTCGGGCTTGGAGTCGAGGATGCTGGCGAGGGCCTGGTCGGGCAGGGGCTCGAGCTTGTCGGGGGTGTCGCTGGCCTTTGCCGGGGCCGTGGCGCGCTGGGAGATGTCGTTAATGTTGGCGGGGTCGAACTTGGAGAGCTGCTGGAACAAGGCACCCCTTTCGCTGGCGGCCAGGCCGTCGTAGAAGTTGAAGACGTGGCCCTGGCCGGCGTCGGTGTACTTGCCCTTGAGCTCGGAAAGGGCTTCAGGGGATGGCTCGGCAGGGCCGGCGGCCGCGCCTTTGGAGCCGATGTTGAGGATCTCCTTGACCTTGTCCATTGTGAATGCGCGCCGGAGGGGTCGAGCTGAGCTGAGCTGAGCTGAAGAGGAGGACGACGAGGCGGGGCAGCTGGAGCGAGGGACGTTGGCGGGGAAAGGCGGTAGGAGAGAGAAGTAAAACCCAATTGAGTCGAGGGCAACGGCAAAAAGACGGCTGGGTATCTCGAGCGAGGAAGCAGATGGGGTGAGGGGGATGGGAGAGGAGAGCAGAGCAGAGCAGAACAAGAGAAGTCGGGGAGCGATGGCGGTGGGAGGAGATATAAGTAGTGATTCAGCCCGGCCAGGCACGAGTCAACAAGCGGGCAGCTCATTCATTCAGCAGCCGTTGGCGGTGCAGCGGCACTGCAGGCCCCCGGACGGGCTGCGGGCTGCTCGTACCCGGCGGAGGCGAGCTGACGTCGTTTCTTCTGGGCCCCCCGCCCCAGGGCTCCCCCTTCCCGCGCCAAGCTCGTTTTCAGGGTCGGACCAGCAGCCACACGCTCGCTCGCTCGGCGCAGGTGGTGGTGGATGGAGGGGCAGCAGCCCAGCATCCATCCCAGCTCAGGAGCCGGCGTCGAGCTTAGGCCGGTACCAGGTACAGTGCTCTGGCGCATCGAGGTACAGGGGGGGTCTCGGGTGGTGGTGTCGCGGCTCATCACTCAGGGGGGAGGGGCCCTGTAGGTAGCCTGTCATCTGTTGTTCGGCCTGGCAGCGGCAGCATCAGCACTGGTGATGATGATGATATGCTGAGCCAACACAGCCGCTCGCTCATCAACTGCAGGCTCTCCGTCTCCCTAGCGCCGTCTGAGCTGAGACAAAGCCACCCCGCCGGGGTTTTCCTGTCAGTGCCAGGCGGTGCCAGCAGATTCGCTCGCTCTTGTTCGACGATGCGCTGCCGCGGCCGGCAAACGGCGGGACGGCTCGGGAAGGGCGAAAACGTTGATGCACCTCATCAGCGTGCGTCCGAGTGACACAGAGCCGTTGCAAAACGCGGCCACGTCGAGAGGAAGCAAGAAAAATGTCTTGCGTCGATGTGGGCGTGCATCCCATCCCGTGCCGGAGCTTTCAAGACACCATCCAGTTGTACTCGTACACCCATCGTCTAGCCACGACGTAGGCTCTGTGATCTGCCTCCTGTCCTCCCACCGCGGCTCGTATCCGCCAGCAGGTGTTGACGTCGCCAGTCCCAAAGCACAGGCTCTCTCGCTGCCGGTGCGGGCAGATCGGCCCCAGGGCTGTGGAGCCTCAACCTTTGCGCGTCCCTGTCCAGGGGCAACGGGCGGGTCCCCCAGCGACGACGAGCGACGAGGAACATGGGATGGGCCATCAAATCAGCCATGATTGTTGGACGAGGCGTGTTGGCGCGGCTGTGCGAATAATGGGGCGGGAGGCAGCGGCGGCGGGCGGCGGGCCTTGCTCGTCCATCCTGGGGCGCAGCAGCAGCAAGCTCCGAGAGCGAAAAATTGTGCCGGGGCCGCGCGCTCAAAATAGCAATGCACCCCGTTTTCTCGGTCCCTGGGGCTTTGTCGGTCGGTGGCCCCCGGATGATGTGCAGATGTGCAGAAACGCTGCTGATGGGGAGCTGACAAACTGTGACGGACGTCGCTTCGTCGTGATGCTCGTCAACTGCGAATTAAGAGGGCAGCGGCGCTTGCCATTGTGCTTCGAATAGGCACCAGGAAGGCTAGGCCACAGACGCCTGGGTTGTACCTTCCAATGGAGGAAGCTCCCGACCGCCACGAGGCAGCCGCAGCAAGAGCTCCCTGCTGCTGAACCCCCTCCAGCCAATCCCGTCCCTGTCGTCAACGACATGACTCCCCTGCCTGGCAGCCATCGCGTAGAGCCTCACCATGGAAGCGACTCGAATGTGTGAATGAAATCTGTCCTCGGCCCCTTGCAGCATCCCCCTTTCTTTGCCTTGTCCTCTTCTCTTCAGTCGCCTTTTGAGATTGCGACGGGGCCGTCAAAGATTCCATCACTTCGGCTGTCGCGAATCCACGGAATTGCCACTCAGACTTTCGCAACGGTCATCACCGTCTTCTCGACGCCATGCCAGAGCAGGACTCGTTGGGCTCACCCGCGCCTGCGTCCTTCAAGGGCCGCCTTCAGCTCGACAGCTTCAAGTACAGTGGCCCTGAGACGCGGCTCCTGCGGCGGAGTCCACGACACAGCGCATCGGCCTCCGCCGCACCCTCTCCTTCGCCTGGCCGTTCACCGTCTCATCGCGCGAGCTCGACAAGCTCCCGCAAGAGGTCTCGCAGCAGCCCCTCATCACGAGAGGCACTGCCGACGTCATCGGAGTCGCCGTCCACTGACTCCCGGAGCCCGAGCCAGAGCACCACCGGGGGCAGTGGCAGCAAGCGCAAGCGCGCGAGCACCGGCTACGCGCCGCCCTCGACCTACGCCCACCTCCCGCACCTCCCCGACGCCATCCTGCCCAACCTCATCGTGCTCTTCGTCGGGCTCAACCCGGGCGTCCAGACGGCCCGCACGGGGCACGCCTACGCCCACCCCTCGAACCTTTTCTGGAAGCTGCTCTTCTCCAGCGGCATCACCCCGCGGCCCTGCCGCGCTGATGAGGACCGCCAGATGCCCGCTCTCTACGCCCTCGGCAACACAAACATCGTCGCCCGCCCCAGCCGCAACGGCTCCGAGCTGAGCAAGCAGGAGATGGACGACGGCGTCGCCGCCCTTGAGGACAAGGCTCGCAAGTGGCGGCCCGAGTGCATGTGCATCGTCGGCAAGAGCATCTGGGAGAGCATTTGGCGCGTCAGGCACGGTGGCAGCAAGGTAGGCGGGGCGTTTAAATACGGGTGGCAGGACGAGAGCGAGAACATGGGCGTCATCGACGGGGAGTGGTCCGGCGCAAAGGTGTTTGTGGCGACCAGCACGAGCGGGCTCGCCGCGTCGCTGTCCCCCGCGGAAAAGCAGGCGATCTGGAACGAACTTGGCTCGTGGGTCAAGAAGAGGAGAGCTGAGCGCGAGGCCGAGGCGGGCACAGACACGGCAACGACTGAACAAGTCTCTGCGTGAGTTGACAATCTACGGAGTACGTTTGGGCATTTCGTTGGATTGAAACATTCTTTGGAGCGAGCCTTGCACCGACACATTTTGCAATTGAGCCAGTCACTCGTGCGATACAGCCTTTACGTCAAATTCTGTCTTTTGTAGCGTCCTGTCCGTCGTGAATAAGATTGCATTGTCTCCCGACTCCGTACGCCAAACCAGCCTACGCCGTCCCCCTTTGGGACCGCAGTCTACTTGCACCGCTTCTCGACCACGCCAGGGCCGTTCTCCTCGTACTCCTTCCGCGATATCCACATCTGGTGGAAGGTACCCAGGCTGGCAAGGATGGAACCGCCGATCCAGGCGCCGAACCGCCTCTCGCTCGTCAAGCCCGCGGCGTGAATCTTGACCTTCAGACCGGGGTACATGGCCATGAGCTCGTTGTTGAGGCGGTCGTTGAAGCCATTGATCAGGCTGGTGCTGCCGGTGACGACCACGTTGGCGAGAAGGTTGCCGCGGAGGTCGACGTCAACCGCGTTGAGGGCCGCGCGGATGAGCTCGGGAATCGTCTGAGCCTTGGTGAGGCGCTCCGACTCGGGGATGGGGTAGCCGGCGTTCTCGTCCCACATGCCCTCGGTGGCCTTGAACCGCTGCTCGCGCCACATCTGGTTGTAGCCGTCGGGCATCTCAAAGACACGGCCTGGCTGCGTCTTGACATAGTCCTCGTTTCCGGGGGCGCTGTAGCGGCCGGGGCCGCGCCACACCTCCACCACGGACTCCTTGAACTCGGTCAAGACGCGCTCCTCCTCGTACGCGCGATACGAGTCGCTGATCTCAAAGGGGAACTTTCGCAGCCGCGCCTGGGCCGGGGCGAGAGCGTCCACCGGCGTCTTGTTCTCGACCATGTATGTGGGGATGAGGTTGACCTTGGGCTCTGACGTCTCCCACAGGCTGCGAATCTGCGACGACAGCCACAGACCACCGGCAGGCGAGCGCTGGATGGACCGCTTGAGTACCATACCATCGTGAATGGCCGTGACGGAGGTGTTGGCGCCGCCGACGTCAATGACCAAGGCGGTGGCCTTGCCGGCGGCAAAGGCAGCCAGAACGGGCGTGCGACTCAGCCAAAAGGCTGGGCAACCCCAGTTCTCCATGATGATCTCGATGGCCTTTTCTCTCGACTTTGGCGTGTTCCAGGGCGCCTCGGTCATGAGCAACGGGTTCTCCTCGAGCGGCTTCTCCTGTGTGTCGGCGGCCTCCTCCATGGCGACGTCGCCCTCGCCATCCTGCTCCTTGGCGTCGTCGTTGAGGCCGTTTTTGGCGGGTGGCGTGGCGCGCTCGGGCTGCAGGCGCTTAATGAGCATGTGTTCCCAGATCTTGCCGGCCGTGTCCCAGTCCTCGACGACGCTGTCCCTGTTCATGTAGTTGCGGACCTCGAAGTCGGCGCGGGGGATGAGGCACTCGTCGCCGAAGAGGTCGCGCTGCGGCTCGCTCGTGACGTGGCCGTAGAAGGACGGCAGGATCGACTTGGGCACATCCTCGCCGGCGTAGCCCGCGCGCGTGTTGCAGTATCCGGGGTCGAGGACGAGGGCGGAGACCTCATCTGCAGTCTGCTGTCAGCATGTTTTGGCCATCGCCAAGCGCGAGGGAGAGGCGACGGACCTCCGCCGTAGATGTCGGTGGGCTGCACCGACGTGGACAGGGGCTGCTGGGCCATGGCTGTGCTTCAATTGCCGTCGCTGGGCGCGGCCAATTCCAAGGCAGGGCGACGGATGGCTGTGGGCGATGGGCGATGCCGGTGCGTTGCGATGCGATGCGCGCGTTTGCAGGATCAAAATTCAGCCTGGTGGTCGGTGATTCGCAGGGCGGCGCGTGCAGTCGAGGCGCTGTAACAGCTGCGGTGGTGCTGAGCGGCCGGCGAGGCTGGGCCCAGCTCGGCGGCGCTTCAATGGATGTTCCTTAGCCCGAGGGGTAGGTACGTACCGGCCCTGCCGTCTCCATTGAGGAAAAAGTCGCAGACCAGCCCGGCCACGGAAATTTCTCCCATCTTCAACCACGCACACGCGCGCTTTCACGAGCTCCCATTGCGCGTGGAACGCACGCTCGGTGCGGTCGATATGATTGTAAGTTTTTTCCTTTGATCCTGTCGTTTCTCTTGCTTTATCGTATGATGAACTCGCATTTTCGCTTCAGAACCGCTGCGATTGACGCAGCTTGCTGCGTGTGATTATAACCTGCCTTTGCCTGATCTTCAAAGCTTTGCTCAAATTTTGCTTGACGTTCCTCAGCTTGGATTCCGGCTAACATGGATCGCTCAGTTGCAATGAAGTCTACCAAGTGCCTTTGGCTGGCTCGCCAGTCCGCCAAAGCCCAATGCAGCGCGGCTGCTCGAATCGGTCTGCCTGCGCCGTGGAGCACTGCGCCGATGCAGCTCCATCGCGGCGCGGTGTCGATAGTAGCGTCGCGAACCCTGTCCACAAAGCCCGATGGCCGACCGAATCTGTCGGGGCTTGCCTCTGAACAGGAGTCGCGCGAAAGTGCCTCACCGTTCAAGCAGCACCGCCAGCGGGAGCTGCGGGAGGACCAGGAGAAAGAGGACCCGCTCTATCCAGATCCATATCCTCGACTAGAATCTCTCCCCGCTCGAAAGAGCGTTCCAGAGTTCTTGGAAGACTTCCACGAGGGCCTTTCCGACGAGAACGTCACCCTCACCGGCCGCGTCCGGTCCAAGCGAGTGGTGGGCAAGTCGCTCATCTTCCTCGACATCGTAAACGAGTTCCAAAAAGTGCAAGTCATGGTCAACAAGAACAAGTGTGTGTCAGAGAAGCATAGAAGAATCCATAAATTCGCCCTGTTCAAGAACTTAATACAAGTTGGCGACCATATCTGTAGGCTACCCGTGCTCCCTCTGACTTCGGGGCTTCGGCTGACGCTTCGCAGCGGTCACTGGCATCGCCACTCGCACAAATAGTGGAGAGCCGACGCTCGAGGCGCGGCAGCTTCCCGAGCTCCTGTCGCCGTCCATGGAGCAAATTCCTGAGAAGCTCACCGACGCGAAGACGAGGATGCAGGAGCGTCACGTCGACATGCTCGTGAACAGAGAAGTGGTGGATGTGCTGAGGCTTCGTGCGGAAATCACCAAGCACATGCGCGACCACTTCCACTCGAAGCGATTCCTCGAGTTCCAGACGCCCATCCTGGCCGAGAACGCGGGAGGAGCCGTTGCCCGGCCTTTCGTCACCAGGGCCACCGAGTTCCGAAACAAAGACTTGGCGCTCCGCATCGCTCCAGAGCTGTGGCTGAAGCGCCTCGTGGTCGGAGGCGTGGACAAGGTCTTTGAGATTGGCCCGGCTTTTCGAAACGAGGGCGTGGACGCAACGCACAACCCCGAGTTCACCATGTGCGAGTTCTACAGCGCCTATACCAACCTCGCTGATCTTATCAACGAGACCGAGGAGCTCATGTACAGCTTGGCCAAGCACTGCCAGGAGCTGATATCCACGCAGCTCACGTCTCTGCCGCCCATCGATCTGAGCCGGTTCGTGCGGCCGTTCAAGCAAGTCGAGTTCATCCCCGCGCTGGAGGAGGCGATCGGGATCCGCTTTCCAAAGCTCACTGCCGAGGGTGCCCTGCCCGAGCTTCTTGCAGTTCTGAAGCTTGCCGGCATCAAGATCCCAGGCGAAGTGCCCAACTCGCTGCCTAAGCTATTGGATCGCTTGGCGGCCATCTACATCGAGCCCATGTCCTTCAACGAGCCCGTCTTCATCACCAACCACCCGGTGTGCATGTCGCCCCTAGCCAAGGGGTTCCTGTGCCCCAACACGTACCAGCTCGTGTCGGCACGCGCGGAGCTCTTCGTCGGCGGCAGAGAGCTGGCCAACATGTACGAAGAAGAGAACGACCCCGAGGAGCAGAAGCGCAAGCTCAATGCCCATCGCAACCTCGTGAATAAGCCCAACGGAGAAGTTGGGTTCGAGGAGGCGGCAGCAGAGGAGGCTCCAGCGCCGCCGCTTGCGGAGGAAGCCGAAAAAGACGAGTGGGAAACGTCCCCGCTTGATCAGAGCTACGTCAAGGCGCTGGACTACGCGTTGCCCCCGACGGGAGGTTGGGGCTGCGGCGTGGAGCGCCTCGTGATGCTCTTCTCCGGGGCCAACCGCATCAGCGACTGCCTGAGCTTTGGGACACTGAGGAATGTGGTGGGACTATCGGCTGACGACAAGGAGATGCCGTCGAAGTGATGTGTACGAATACGTGCGTGGTTGTAAGACTATTTGGCGGTTTTGTGTATACAAGGGAGGCGACTATGCAGCGATCCAAGGCTAGCAGCATATGTACAAACTGAAGCGAATCAATATACAAAGATACCTGGTCTGCAAGCTGTGTTGACAATCTGGGCGCAGTTGACTGCAACTAAACTTCTAGGAAGACAAAGGAGACGACTCGACGATGGCGGCCGCTCATTCGGTAACGCGGAACGTGCTGACGGCCGTGCGGTCCACGGGGCCCTCGAGCCAGCCATCGACGGTCGCGTCGGTGAAGTGGTGCCCAAAGACGGTGTCGTAGTCGAGGACGCGGACGGAGACGGCCTCGGCTTTTGCGCTGAAGACGACGGCGATCTTGATGGCGTGGCCGGAGGGGCGGGCGAAATAGTCGGAGGTGCCGCCGCGGCGGGCGGCGTGGAAGGTGCTCTTGCACCTGCTGTCGCCCGAGGCCAGGACCTCGTAGATGTCGAACTCGCCGCAGGTGGGCCAGCAGCTGCACTTGTTGTACTGCGCGGTGCGGGGGATGTTGGCGTTGAGGGCCCAGAGGGCGGGCATGTCGGCGTTGAAGCCCGTGGTGTTGTCGAGGGGCATCTGGAAGTCGAAGAGGAAGGCCTTGTTGCCGCCTCCGAAGCCGTCTGTTTATGCCCAAGGCAGTTTCTGTCAGCCCTTTGCCGAAACACACACATGTATCATATATATACCGAGTCTGAAGGGAGCATGATGATATCCTCAAACTGCAAGAACATTGAAGGGAGAGGGGAGAAGGTGTCAACTCACGGTACGCGACGTCCTCGACGCGAGAGAAGCCGCAGGCCCCGTTGCACTTCTGGCCGCTAAAGACGGTGAATTCCTTGTTCGACGGGATCTCAACGTCGGCGAGGATCTCGGGCGTCTCGGAGCCCGCCGTGGCGTCGGCGTTGATGTACGAGAGGGAGTTGCCCCATACGCTGTGCGCGTCGAAGACAAGAGCGTGGTCAGCCAACCGACCACCTGCAGATACTAGCATATAATGGGATGTGTCTTTTTCTGACGATGGATCCGGGAGGACGCTTGTTCATTTCTCCGGCTGGGAAACGTACAAATCAAACTCGCCAGAGCCCTGGCCGCCGTAGTTGCCCAGGAAGACGAGGTTGTCGGCCTCCTGCGTGGAGGCGTTGTAGTAGGAGACGCGGTGCCATGTCTCGTTGACGCAGCCGAAGTTGTACACGGCCATCTGGTTGAGCTTGAAGGGGCCGCGGATGTGGATCGAGAGCTGTTGCCATATATCGTCAGTACAAGGAAAGGGCCCAGATAGCTCGGGGCCAGTTTCTGGCTTCCAATCTTTCTCTCACACAACCTCGCAGACATAAAACATACCTCCTCCTCAAACACCCCGAGCGACGAATTGTATTCTTTGCTCTGCCTTCCGCACTGATCCGCAGAGTCGCCCATGGACGTGACGGCCTGGTAGCTGCCCTTGTGGGCCAGGCCCGTGTACGTGATCTGCTCGACCTCTCTGCAGAACGAGTTGCCGAGCACGTCGTGGGACACGTTTGAGCAGCCGCGGTTTGCGTCGGCGGCGGGCAGCACCAGGGCCCAGCCCGTGGACGCCGCCGAGGCGAGCACCGCCGCGATGGGTGCGGCCGACTTCATGATTTTCTGTTGTTGTTTCTGTCTTTCTTTCGCAAAACAAAAAGGAGTGTGGCGTAAGCGAGTAACTACTATCGTAAATGGTTCATGTATATGTGTGTGTATCGTGGACCGATGACCAATGTGTGTGTTTGCTTGTTCGTTGGGTAGGAGAGTTGCTCTGCAACCAAAAGGAGCGTACGGGGAAGAACAGAGACACCCTGGCGGCAAGGAACGCGGGCTATCGAAGGATAGCCCATCGCGGTAGCCATGCGCCTTTAAACAACGACGAGAAATGATAACTTGCGTCACAAGCACCGGGGAAATCGCCGCCTTCGGTCTCCCTCTGACCCCCTCCTCCTCCGCTTTACTGTGAGGGGCGGGCAAACACCAAAGAGCAAAGCCGCATGCTCACCGGACGGTGTCATTTCCAACGAACGCAGCCAAGAAACCCTGTGCCTGAAGGCGGCCTTGCATTGACTCCTCATCCTGGCTTGGCTGAAGGGGGCGGAGGTGGAGGAGCAGGAGGAATAAAGGAAGAGAGACGACCGAAAAGGGCAGCGGTAGCAATGCCCAGACAGCCACCGTGGGGCCCCTTTATATAAGGGTCTTGGGACTTTTATGCGCATTTTTCTCAGGTCGCCCGTTCCTTTTTTTCCTCCATCTCAAAGATACGGGCAGCAGCTGCTGCGCCGCTTCGGATGATCTACGACGTGGTCCGGGGGAACAACAAGGTTTGCTGTTGAAACGCGGACAGGATCAGGGCGGCCGGCTGTCGTGCAGCGTGCGGATAACCTCGTGGAGACGAGACGGACGGGCGGCTGCGGCTGTCACTGGGCGCGAGGACGACCCCCCCCCGGCTCTCGGTATTAGGACTTGGGATAAGGAAGCATGCAGGTACTACGCAGGTACGCAGGCAGGCATACCTAGTCAATTACTCGGCAGGGCTGGGCTGGTGGGAAAGGCATATACCTGCGGCGTGGTGTCCGCCCGCCCGCCCGCTTGCTTGCTTGCTCGCCTGCTTCCCTCCACCGGCGCGCCGAGGCTCTGCCCTGCTCTGGCCCCCTTTCTGCCACTCATACCGGACGGGACGGGGCTCTGGGCTCGGCGCGCTGCTGCCACCCCGGCGATGCGACGGCCACATGCTCTCGGCTCGGCGCCGGTGGACGGGCAGCAGACGACGCGCCTGTCATACCTGCCCAACGGCCGTGTGTTTCATGTTCAGCGGGCACGAAAGGAGCGGCGGAGGCTTGCAGTGATATAGAGTTACGGTGGTAGGTAGGTAGGTTATGCGGTGCTCGATATGGAAGGGGGGCTGGGACTGACTGCATCACGGCGGGCTCGCTTGCTTGCTTGCTTGCTTGCGGTGAAGGGGGCCGTCATGGGCAGAGGCCGGCGGTTGCGTGACAGGAGGAGGGCGAGCGAGCTTTGGGCTCAATTTCGAGAGCGCCAGGCGGTGCGGTGCGGCTGCGGTGATGCTCAGGCCTTCATCCTCCGTCCTGACTCGGGGAGATGCTGCGTTAGTTATATACGTGACGGTCGTGGCTTGCATAGTTTCTTTATTCCACAAGCTCATGCACATGATATATTGGGATGAGGAGTGCTATTTGTAGAGCCAACTTTTGCTAGTGTAGAGCCCTCCTACAATTTTTTTTTTGTTCTCTCGGCCGGATCCTACTCCCATGCTGCCCAGGTGATTTCTACTGCCCACTGGCGCAGGCATGGGACGGCAGCGGCGCTCTGCCTGTTGCTCTCGTTGCTTTCGTTGCTGCCGCTGCTCTTGCTCCCATGGGCTCTACAACTAGCAAAAGTTGGCTCTACAAATAGCACTCACTACTCTGTTATTGAGATTATTAGCTGGACGGCATGCCTTGCAACTCGTATCATATGATAATGACGATTATTTCTCGTGGCCTTGTGTGATTTCGGCTCCTGCGTTGCCGTTGCAATCTTGCAAGCGTGTGTGTCTATGATTCCTGATGAGGAGGCTCTTTGCATGAATGCTGGGGTATTACAAGTACTTGATAACGCGCCTCGGTCATGGGGCGGGCATGTCCGGGGCTCCCCGAGTCGAGTCCCAGCAGCCGCCGGTGATGGTCATGGATCAAAGACATCCTGGCATTAATCTAGTCCCCCAGGCCAGCCCACTCGCCCCCATCGCTATCATCGTCGCCCCTCTCCCGCTCCGTCATCTTGCGCCTCTTGCTGCCCTCGATGGCCCCCTGCCTGTTGTGCTGCTTGCGCCTCTCGTATCCGCTCGTCGACGTGATCTTGGCCTTGTTGCCGGCGGCGCTGCGCCGCGCCTCCACGCCCCGTTCCCTGAGCTTCTTCCTGTCCGCCTTGGTCACGTTGGGCAGCGCGTCGAGCAGCCACTTCTGCACGCCCGCCTGGTCCCCCGTCTTGCCCGCCTGGCGCTCGCTCGCCGCGATCACGTTGGCCACCGTCTTGACAAAGGGAATGTCCTCCTTGGTGTAGAAGGTGACGGCCACGCCGCCCTCGCGGCCGGCGCGCCCTGTCCGCCCCGCGCGGTGCACGTACGCGGCGCTGGAGCCGGGCACATCGTAGTTGACGACGCCGTTGACGCCCGCAAAGTCGACGCCGCGCGCGAGCACGTCGGTCGTGATGAGGACCCAGATCTCGCCCGCGCGGAACTTGCGCATGATGGCCGCGCGCGCCGAGTCGGGCAGCCCGCTGTGCAGCGCCGCGATCCGCGACGACCCGCCTGCCTCGAGGGGGATGTCGTACTTGAGCTCCTCGTGCAAAGCCGTGGCGCGGTCGATGGTCTGCGTGAAGACGAGGAAGGGCGGCCGCAGCGGCGGCCCGGAGTCATCAGCTGCCGTCGGGTGCAGCAGCTGCCGCAGAGCCAGCAGCTTGCCCTGTTCGCTGGCCGTGTACGTGAGCTTGTGCACCACGTTGGGCACCGCCGTGTCCTTGAGGCCCACGACCAACCGCACCAGTGGCTTCTGGCTTATTCCCAGAGACTCTGCTCTGGCCTTGACCTTGTCCGTGACCAGCGTCTCGATGTTGGAGCCCATGGTGGCCGACCAGCAAGACAGCCGAAGCTTTGCGTTTGTGCACGCCGTCCACAGCCCCAGCGTCTGTTCCCGGAACAACGGGTCGAGGAGAACGTCCGCCTCGTCGAGAATCAAGTCGCGAACAGTCGGCAGGACCTTGGCCGTGCCACTGGGTCCCGAGGTGAGAAAGTTGAGTAGCAAGAGCGGTGTCGTGACCAGGATATCCGCCTTGGTCACAGACCCTGGCTTGCGAGACTGCTTCTTCTTCTTCTCGTCCGCCGATTCATCCTCTTCGTCGTCCTCTTCCTGTTCATCCTCGGAGCTGTCCTCGGCAAGCACCTGCTGCTCGGCAGCGAGCGTCATGCCCTTCTTCATGCCGACAATCTTGAGGCCCGTGCCCTGCACCAGCTTGTTGCCCTCGTTGGCAATCTGATATGCCAACTCCCTGGTGGGGGCCACTACAACGGCCTCGAGCTCGTGGATCCCATGCAGATTCGCCTCGGCTCTTCTGCGCATTATGTTGTTGATGGCCGGTATTAGGAAGCTGATTGTCTTGCCGCTGCCGGTCGGCGCGACGGCGAGAAAGTCGATGCCCTCCTCGAGGCCCTCCTTGTCGTCGAGCGCGAGCTCCGGGTGGAGCAGCAGGGGCAGGCTGCCTAGCTGAACCTCCGTGGGGACGCGGTAGCCCTGCGTGACGAGGTTCTCGGCGACCCTGCGGGAGATGCCATAGTTGGTCCGCAAGTCGCCAAACGACTCGAGGGGCTGAGGGAACAGCTGCCTCTTTTCCTCCTTCTTGGCCTCGACGACCGCCTGCTTCTTCTTCTTTTTGGATTTCGTGACCTTTTTCTGCTCCTCAACCTTGGACATGAGCGTAATCTTGAGGCGATGCGATCGCAGCAGCTGGCGGCACTCGTCCTCGCTCAGCTTCTTCGTGGGCGCGCGTCGGGGACTCAGCGCGCGCTCCGCCTTGTGCGCCTCGGGCTGCTTCTTCGCAGCGGGCTCGGTCTTGGGCGCGAAAAAGTCCACCACAGGCAAGTCCTCGGACGAAGATTCCTTCTCGGGCTCGTCCCCGTTGCGCTTGCGCTTTTGGCCGCGGACGTCGTCGTGGAAGAGCTGCGGGTTCGTCCGCGTGCCGGCCGAGGGGAGCTTCACGCCGGCATTGGCGCCGAGCTGCGCGCCCTTGGACGTCTTGACGGTCCCGCGGGACAGGATCTTGAAGATGTCCATGGTTGCGGGGGACACTTGGCGCGGGAAAAGCGTCGTTGTGCGAAAACAAAAGCTGGCGCCGTCGTTGAGGTTGCAAATTCTTGGGCCGTCGCTACAGGGTCCAAAGTCCAGAGGTTAAGTAGAAATTTTGTGGCGTCCCCTTGCAAGGCTATAGTGGGGGGTGGGGCGGCGGCGGCAGCGGACCTGGTGACAGGCCGACAGCCTCGTCTGCGGGCGTCTCTGCTGAATGGAAGTGATTCGTGGGAAGAGCTTTCAATTGAGGTCACATCCTTGGCAGAGAGCATGATGATTGGGGTTTTCATTGAAAATGGAAGCAGAGCTTCTAGTGGTACCATGTTCCGCTGATTGTCGACAACCACCATAAAACCGCCATGCCCAAGCGTGGCGCCAAAGCCCATCCTGTAATGATCATAATAGTATAGAGGGCCGAAAGCGCATATTCTCTCTCTTCGAAATCGCTGCAAGTCGCTTCTCCAAGTTCACGTCCCGTCGTCGGACGCGCCGCCATGGCCGCCGTCCTCCCTCCCCTCGCCGTAGAGCACCTCGCACACGCCCGCCAGCGGGATGTCCAGCACCGCGTCGGTCCCCTCGTTCCAAATCTCCCTCCAGCGCAGGCGCCCGTTGCCGTCGCACTTGCGCTCCCGCCTGCCGCTGCCGCTGCCGCGCAGCCGGCCCTTGGAGTCGATGACGGCCAGCTTGCCCGCGCCGTCGACGATGGTCTCGACGCTCGCCATGGGCACCGTCATGATCTCCGTGTTGTACGACGCCAGCGCCACGTAGATGTACACGAGCGTCATGACGAGGAAGGCCGGCGTCGCCAGCGCCCACCACCGGTCCGGGTAGTACTCGATGCCCAGCGCCAGCAGGAACGGCGCCGGCAGGTAGCTCCACAGCAGCCACAGCAGGAACGTCAGGCTGCTGAACAGGTACAGCACGAAGCCGTAGTATTCGTACGTAGGCACCTTGGGCGCCGCCCGCGGCAGCGGCGCCATGTTGTCGTCGTCTGAGGCATCGGGTGTTGTCGGTCGCGACGGCCGCAACAGCGACGTCAGTGACGGAGAGGGTGGCAGCGGCGTCGGCGGTCGGCCGTAGAAGGGCGGCGCAAAGTAGTTTTGTGACGGCGGCCGCGGGGGCGATTCGTCGTCGTCTGACGAGCCCGACGACAGGTTGTCGGAGAGGTACTCGTCCTCGTCTTCCGAAGACAGGGACATGATGTCGGGCGCGTGGGTTCGTTGGCCCAGAGGGCAGCGCACGGCGTGGGCGTTGCTGTTGCGCTTCGCAGAGATGACAAGTTGAAGTTGCGGCCGGGACGCGGGTCGGCAGTGGTGGCGTCTACTTTCAATTCCGGCCCGCGCCCACCAGATCGCGAACCCTTGGCACCCGCAACACTTTTTGCTTTCATCGTCAGAACAGCTCGAACTCGCCTCACTCAATCTCAGCAGCCGTCTTGTAAATGTTATTTGCAAAAAGAACGCTTCATTATCGCTCATCTCGACATCATGGCTACTGTACAGGCACACACACATGCATACATGCCCATCCTACCCATCAACGGGACACTTGTACTCTCGCTCGCGTCCCAGCACCCCGTTCTCATGCCTCTCCTGCAGCGCATCCAGACAGCTCTGATGGTAGATGTGCCGGCAGGCCAACACGACAAGCGGCCCCAGAGGCGCATCCTTGCCGCCGCTCGTGGCGTCGGGCTCGATGAGCATGCTCGACGGGCGCGTGTCGAGGCTTTTGCCCTTATTCCTGCCGTCCGACTCGCCCGCCTTGCCCGTTGCCCTCGCCGCGGCCCGCGCTTTCCTATCGTTCCTCGCCGTCTCTTCAATGGCCTGCTTGTCCTCCCAGGCCTCGAAGACGACGCCGCCGGCGACGCCCGGCCCCCAGACCCGCCTCCCACACGCCTCGCACGTAGACCCTCGCGGCCGCCAGCCCCGCTGTCGCAGCTCGACGGCTTGATTGACGCTGACAAACAGGCTTCGCTCCAGAAGGCGATTCGACAGACGCAAGATCGATTCCTCGTACGCATAGGCCGAGAAGATGGATGCCAGGACCCCGCGGAGGTCGGCCAGGTTGGGCGACGAGGCAGCCGCTTGGGTGAGAAACGCCTTCAGGATGCGCAGAAAGGATAGGTTCGAGCCCGCGTTGGACAGCATCCTGCTGCTCGACTGACTGTGCGCCTGGCTGGAAGTCGCTGTCAGAAGCGCCGTAAAAGTATGCTGGACCAACGACCGAAGCAGCGAGAGTAACTTCTCGTCGTCGACCTCCTCATCACGGGCTACGGCCACCATTGCTGGCGACAGGCGCTTTGTGACTTGCACGCAGGCATCAATCAACGTCAGCCATAGAGCTTCGTCTGCTGAAAGTTCGTCCTTGGGCGACGACGACTTCTTCTGGACGACGGTGCTCTTCCTGGACGTTTTCGTCTGGCCCTGGCAGAGCCAAATGCCGACATGGACATACTTTTGCAAGCCGTGGAGAAGCTCGTCGGCCGATGCTTGAATGTCAAGATCACCGCCATTCTGCTCCTCGCTGCCGCTCAACAGGCCTTGCATCGCGGATTCGAGAGTGTACAGGTGCTTGACCAGGCGCTCCATGGCGTCCGTTATCTGACCGTCGCGGGCCATGAGCACAACGGCGGCATCGACAACTTGTGTGGCCTCCATTGTCGGCAGCAGGACGTCAAGCCGGAGATCTGTAGATTGAACCGTTTCCACGTAGTCGGATACATGCTGTGGATCGAATTTGCACATGAGTTGGACATAGCGTTCCACCAGATCTCGATCCAGCGCCTCGCCTTGTTCGTCTGATGGACGGTCGGCTTCTAGCAGGGCCTTCAGATAGGCATGCTGCAGCTCCGGCTCGTCCTGTGCCGACTCAATTACGTGTCGATGGAGAGCGGCATCCTGATGTCTCAAAGTGGTTGCCGTTCTCCTTGGGCTGAGGGTCAAGAGATCTCGTGCGTGCTCCTCAATTACTTGACGCACCTCTCTGCTTTGCCGACTGTCCAAGCCGGTCTGCGGGCGGAGACAGTTGGAGATGCAGTCGAAAACAGCCTCCTGGTCCTCGGGATCCTCAAAGTACGTGGTCAACAACTTGGCGTATTGTTTTTCGACCTTGAAAGTGCGCTTCAAGATGCGATAGAAGCCGGCCTGTTTGAAGAGAGGTAGCATCGCAGCCATATCTGACGGGTGATACACCGACAAGAGGTACTCTGCGCTGAGCTGAGCATCGTCCGCCAGGTCCTCGCCTGGGTAGTTGCATAACCCCACGAGGACTTTGGAAAGTGTCGATCCAGAAAACAGGAGGTACTGCGGAAACTTGGGTAGGTTTCGCGCAATGAACATGTCGAGGTAGATGGAATCCTCGGGTGCAAAGTCTTCCGAGTTCATGACGTCGAGCAGGATCGTGATGATGTACTGGCGATTGATGGTCAAACCAAAGATCTGCTCTTCGGGCATGTCCATCCGCGACCCGCCGGAGACCTGCTTGTCAGGAGAATCGTTGAGGAAGCCGTCCTCAAAGGCCTCATTCAGCGCGCTCAAGAAACTGGGCGCGTCAAACTTGAGAATCATGCGCAGGTATGGAAACGCCGGTTCCGATTCGTCTCCCGGCCGAGTCAAGAACTCGCGCCCGCTGCCCGACGGCCACTCAATGGTTTTGCCCGAGAAGAAGAACCAGTAGACTTCGGATTTGGCTTTGACCGCTGTCTCCTCTTCCATGATCTCTCCGTTCGGGTATATTCTCCCCGTCAGGGTATACGAAAGGTATGGGAAGATCTTTAGCGCGTTGATGCTGTAGTAGTCGTCGGTCTGTGCGGTGCTGTCCCCGTTTGTCATCAACGGCAGCAGGAGACTCAATAGGTCGATCATTGGAGTTATGTAGTCGCCGAGCGCCTGATTCCAGACGTACGTCAGGGCGTCGTAAAGGCTGTGCTGTTTGCAGAGAAGCGTGACCTGGTCTAGGTCAAGGGTTGCCGTCTGCATGTGGCAAATCATCTCCTCGAGCCTGCTCTCCCAGCCCTTGGTAACGTAGTGAGTGACCATGTCCTTCACCACGCCGGGGGGCACAACAGTAATGTCTTCGTCCAGTATGTACGGCTCCAGCGTCTCATGGAATATGCCGCTCACATCGGCGCCTTCGTACCAATCGTACATGTCGTCGAACAGGTAGTCTGTCGTGCCAATCGCTTGGCAGGCAACATAGCACGTCTCGGCTAGCTGTCGCAAGTGATCGTCGTCGGCTTCGGGGCTGCCCTTTTGTCTCTGCCCAAACGCATACTTGAGCGACGCCGTGATGATTTCCATGATTTTGTCCTGAACCATCGAGTGTCGCAGCTTGATATCCTCTGGTAGCCCGACCGTAAGCTTGTCGGCATCGCCAGTGTAGTATGAAGTTGCCAGTCGAATGGCACCCAGGTAGTCGCCGTTCTCCATCATGGCGATGAGCCGGTCCGCCCAGTTTGACAGTGCTCCGATGGACACTTCGTTGAAGCCGAGAAGGAACAATCTTCCTTTGTACGCTTTGAAGCTCATGTAGAAGGCATCGGCTACGACGCCGTGCATGGTCTGATCAGCCTCATCGAGCTGTTCTACCAACGTGTGAAGCTGCTTTGAGAACAGATCCTTGTGGTATATGTACTTTTGTAGCAGGTCGATGGCGTCGGTCATTCGCATGCTTCTGTCTTCCAGCACGATCAACCTCTGTGAGATGGTGAGGACTGTCAAGACGGAGCGGCTCAGCCATTGGACCGCAACAATGGCTTCTTCACACTTCCATCTGCTGCGCGCTTTGAACTTGAGCGACGGGGGCTGGTCCTTGTCCTCGCTCGGTACCTCGTCCACGTCCAGCACAGTAAGGACATTCGACCAGCAGTAGACGAGCTTGACCTTGGACACGTCGCTCCCCGTGACGGGGTCGGGCACCTTTAACTTGACAGCCGGGAACCAGGCTAAGCAGCCAGTCATGGCGCTGTGGGCTGGGACGTCCTTTGGCCTGGCCGACTTGTGCTGGGTCTGAGCAACTGGGGTTGTAGAGACAATCACCAAAAGGTACGGGGTGAGCATGGCTGTCAAGCCCATCGAGTCTGTGGCCTGCTCAACGTTGCCCAGCGGCAGGGGCGCAAATGAAAGAACTGTGCTCGGCTTGAGCGGCTTTCCAGCAGGAGTCGGTGCGTTGGGATATCGGCCCAGTATCCTCGTCGTCTTGACCGTGCGACCGAGCGCGCCCGTGCCTCTTGTTGCAAGGTGCGAGAAGGCCATCCCTCGGTCATCGGCCGAAACAAGAGCAGTATGTCGTGTTCCCAAGAAGCCCAGATGAATCACAGACACGTTCTCCACGTGCCCATCGGCAGTATGGTTCTGCGCCTGAGCATCGTCCAGGTGTGGAATGGTAAGAAATGGCCGCGCCGCCCTGGACGTGTCCCAGGTAAAGATGTTGCCGTTGGCGTGCCCGCCAGCAATGGTGGTATGATCCGCAGATATAGCGAGTGCGGTAACTGGCCCAGATTCGACGGCTGCGGCATGTTAGCCCTGCAACTTTGCGGTTAGGGTATACCAGCTTTGCCTACCTTTCGTGCCTTGCCCGATGATCATCTTGAGATTCTGATTGTAGTCAAATATTAAGATTATACCCTTTGAGGTTCCCATGACAATTGTCGCCGAGACAGCAAGGCAGGTGGGCGCGCCAAAGTTGCGACGGCCGGCCTCCGAGAAGGCCTGGCCGTTGATCTTCCTGAGCCTCGTCCACCGCACGACCTCCCACGGCGGTGTAGGCGTGTCGGCCTCTGCCTGGTCGAGCACAAAGTTGGAGCTCAGGGAGGCGTTGCGGCTGTGTGGCGACAGAAAGGCGGGAGAGGAAGGCCGCAGCGTGTGCGAGGAGGAAGAGCTCGAGATGCGGGACTGGAAACGTCTGTCGAACGGTCGGAACGATGGCGTGGGGCTTCGCAGGCCGGCTCGTGAGGCTACCGACGGCAGAACGCTACTTCCGGGAGAGGACATCAAAGAGCCCTTGTCTCGTCAGCTTGTGCTCATGCCATTTGTATTGACGCTCGACTTACTTGCACAGACGGGGAGTAGCCGAGGGCAGAGGTCACCGACTCGACCGGGCTGCCGACTCTTCGCGGCACAGCATCCACCAAGCTGGCATCCATGGAGCTCACTTCGGATCCCTCTTCAAATTGCTCGCGGATAGCATCGCGGTGGTTGCGAGGGGCCTGCTCGGAGCCGTCGGCTGATCCTATCGCACCCGAATCGGACGACGGCCCCTCGAGCTGAGGGACATCGGCGTCCGCATTGTCGCGTGGGGGCGGGCTCGTCTCTCCGCCGCCAGGGCTCTCGCCGCTCGCCGGAGGCGCATCTTCTGTGTCAGACATTGCGCTTCGGTTTCCATCACATCGTCCCAGTGTCGCGGCGTAATCGTCATGAGCTAGGTGAGCTCAGAGCGGAGCTGGGGGGCGGGCTCGTGGAAGGCGGCGTTGGTCGGTCGCTCTCGGTCGCTTTCGGCACCGCAACCGTGGGTGGTGATCGCCGCGGTCGCGACCACGTTTTGCCTTCCAGGAATCGGCTCGGAACCTCCAGCCGCGAGCCTGATGCGATGCGTGCAATGTGCGGGACAGGTGGTGGTGTCGGAGGCTGGAGCTTGGCGGGATCCTGCGCTGCAGGCGGTTGGAGGTACCTGTAGCTGTTGCGGGCCGGGGATTTCCCGTTGGGGGTGTAAGTGGGCGCTGACGACTCCCCGCATTTCCAGGCACATGCTGTTACTTGTTTCCCTTGCACCGTCTCATGATTTGAGACGCCACCTTTGGATGGCAGCTGCATTTTCAGTCTCGAGCAGACTGTAATGCCAGGATTCGAAGTGGCAGCTTATGTTGGGCCAAAGGGTACTCCCAGCGCCGGATTGGCCTATAGTATCTTGAAGCCGCATTGTGCTGCCTTGCCGTACGTCGTCGTAACCTCGAAATACAGGACGGCTTCCTAAATCTGCAAGTGTATGGTAATGCCCATGTCGTTGCATATGGTTTATCTTTTGCTGAAAAGCATTTTTTTTGGCTGCATCTATATGTGCACATACGTGGATCAGTACCCTCACGCGAGTCTTTTGTGACCATTTTCTGGTTGCTCTTCGTGCAAACCTGTCGCTCTTCCCTAAAGCTGGAACCTCTCTCGCTGTTACTCAACTCCACGTAAGGCGTAGACTGCGATTCACGACCTACTTTGTATTTGCTATAAATAGGTTCTCTAGAGCCAGTGCTAGAGCCTGCTCTTTTTTTAAAGTCAATTTTGTGATCAACTAGGCCTGGACAAATCTCTTGCCGCAGCATCCATGAACCAGACAAGGTTCTTATTCAAAATGAGGTTCACTTTGAGCATCGTCTTTTGCTCCCTCTTGCCCCTGGTGATACCATTTCTCATACATCGAGGGGTACGTTCTCCGCTCCCAAACCTGCTTCCACAATCATCATGGGAGGTAACGTAGTTGGCCTTGAAGCATTGCACTGTTCGCGAGCAACTATGCAACATCACACGCCCAGATCTCCCGGGCCGGCCTTTGCAGGTGAAGCCATGTCACAACATGCAGCAGGTTAGAAACGCCGACTTGTCTTCGTTACACATATCCTTGATTTGACCGCAATTTACTCCTATATAGTGTACGGCCGAACGTAATTGCTGCCAGTGGCATGACTGGATGCGGCATGCTTTCTGTACTTAGGCATACCAGGAACTACTGGGGAGCATGACAGAGACTATGGAATTAATGTGTGAATTTCTGGATACAGTTGAGCTATAGATGTTTCATACAAGGGACTATCGCCCCAAACCTTTGTACCCCAACCTCAAGGATGTGATAGCATTGATGCGTCTAAGTCGATTGAGGCCTGTGCAACTCTCAGAGGCCCACCCAGCTCGACCCCACCCAATCACGGCCCCTGCGCAAAACAGCTCGCAGCCAAAAACCACCATCCCCAGTGACATCCCACCACCATCCCTCCTCCTCCTCCTCCTCCTACACAACCACCCACGCTCCTCCTCATCTCCATCCCGTCAACCCCCCTTTCCCTTTCCCCCTTCCTTCCCCCCTTGGAGCCTCGCCCGCGCCCGGCCCACTCAGCTACGCCATGTCCTCCATAGGCCCGCAACTCCCGCCGCACCTCTCCAAGCGCAAGCGCACGCCCGACGACGACGGCGCCGACGACCGCGATGCGCGCGGCGACTCTCCCAGCGGCAAGTTACCCCGTCGCGGGGACGCTGCGCCGCCTGCGAACGCGGATGAGATAGGCCTCGATGACGATGACGAGTCGGATGACGGCATGGGGCCGAGCGCGCCGCCGCCGCCTCCCGCGCAGCAGCCGTCCAGGCCCGTCGTCGGGCCTGCGCTGCCGCCATCCACCACCGCAAATCAAGACGAGATAGACCTCTCTGATTCAGACTCTGATACCGGCCCTGCACCGCCTCCCACCGTATCGTCCCGTCCGGGCCCGCAAGCTCCCTCACAGCCGCAACCCACACCAGCATCATCATCGGCACCCAAACCGCAAGCCGCCGCGCCCTCAGACTCAGACTCGGACTCGGACGACGACTACGGGCCCGCCCTCCCCTCCGCAACCACCAAGCGCGCCAACGCCATCGGCCCAGCCATGCCCCCCGTCGAAGCCGCCCCCCAGCGCGACACCTGGATGCTCGCGCCCCCCACCTCGAGCGGCTACACGGAGCGCGACCCGACGCGCATGCGCAGCCGCAAGTTCGCCTCCAAACCCTCCGCCTCGTCCGGATCCGGCGCCGGCGCCGGCGGCGATGGTGTGTCCTCGATATGGACCGAGACGCCCGAAGAGAAGCTCCGCCGGCTGCAGGACTCGGTCCTCGGCCGCTCGGGCGACGGGTCCGCCGCCGCGGGAGGACAGGGCGGCGCGGCGGGGCAGAGGAGCAAGGAGCAGGAGGAGAGGGATCGTCGGATTGCGGCTAGCATCGAGGCCCAGCGCGGGGGCAGCCTGTACGATGAGCATAGCAAGAAGCGCAGGAATGAGGGCGTGGCAAAGGGCGAGGAAGAGGACGACCCGAGTAAGAGGGCGTTTGACAAGGAGAAAGACATGGCGCTCGGAGGCAAGATTGGCACGGCGCAGAGGAGGGAGCTGGTGACCAAAGCGGCCAATTTTGGTGGGCGCTTCCAAAAAGGCTCGTACCTCTAGTCAGTTGTTCGTCTGTTGTTGGGCTTAGAGAAGACAGCATCAATCGGCGTTTAAATATGGATCACAGCAGTCACAACTGAAAGTGGCACAAATTCTTGCATAACCGCATCGAGACATGATTCTCTTCGCATGGTGAAATCATTTGGCAACCATAAGGGATGCCACATAGCCGCCTAACTCCTCCGCTCCAAAGCAAAAATCCCAGTCCATATCATTCCCAGTCCCGCAGTGCAATCCCCTTCATCCTCATGCAGATAAAAGAACCCATTTCATCCACGTCGTCTTACAGGAACCTGCCCCGGCGCAAGCGAGGATAGAGGCGACCCCAGTCCCGTAGGGCCTTGGCCGTTCCAACTCGGGGCTGGTCTGCTGTTGTGTGCCCAACGAACACTCGAGAGACAACCACAAGGATGTGCTCTGGCTGGTCGTACATATACATGGCTCAAGGTTCAAGCCATCCAGCCTGGCTGCACGCCAGGAACCGAATGGCTGCAAGTGCGACGTCCTCGGCAGCAAAAATCAGAAAATGCAGGGCCGCCGTGAATGAACACAACGGCATGTATAAACGTCGGCTTCGTGATGACGGTACCGCCCGAGCTCGTGGCTGGGCGAAAGGAGAGAACACCATCGCTAGTGACAGGGGGTCATGAAAAGAAAAAGAGCAGGATCCGGAAGCCGCGACATCATGTCGTGTTGATAGCACTTCCGATGCCAACGCAACGCCTCGCTTTCGACTAACACATCAGTGTGATGACGTCGCCGCCGGCCGATTCCCTGATTCGAGCTGCGAAGGAGTGACTGCCTCGTTGGCTGTTGTTTCAGAGTTTGAGGCAGCTGTCTGCTCGTTGTTGTTGCGACGGCCAAATCGGAGAGCTTGTCGGACGGACGAGAGCATGCCCCCGTTCGCCGGCTGTGACGGGCTGTCCTGATCAGCAGCAGGCTCTGGCTGACCAGATCTTGAAGTCTGCTCGCGATTGGCACGACGTGGTCGAGAGCTCCCGCCGGTACGCAATAGCGACGAACCGGCCCGCGAGTTTGAGTTTGAGTTGGAGCCACGGAACCAGGCGGCTCGCAGCCCGTTTGGTAAGTTGAGGCGGGAATTGCTCCGAGGATCGAGAGTGCTGTTGTTGGCAGCGTTCGCGTCGGCTTCTTGATTTGGTCGCGGCTTCGGGGTGTAGTAGTCTGCTTTGCAAAGCGGGCAGCACGCACGGCGGCTGGTGAGCCAAGGATCGACGCAGACGGCGTGGAACGCGTGACCGCAGGTAAGCCCTCGTACATCATCGTCGTCTTCGAGAGTGTCGATGCAGATAGCGCAAGAATCGCCAGGTGCAGAGAGGCATTCGGGAGGGAGAGCAGCGTCGATGTGCTCGTCGTCATCCATGTCCTCGCTCGACACGCGCTGGAGCCCTGGCGGGGTCGGGGCTGCGGTGTCCTGGGTGCCAGACGTTTGGCCAGCGTCGGCGGTCTGTTGGACTTCGGGCTTCGGCTTTTCGACGTCCTTCTTGGCGGTGGTTTCCGTCGCAACTTGTGTCGTCTGAGCGCGGTTGGCGGCTTCGCTGGAGGGTCGAGGCTCCTCGATCGAGTGCCGGTCTTTGGAAGCCAAGTCGGGAACGATGCCGTCGGCGTCGCGAATGCTGTTCGCTCTGCTGGCAGGAACAGACACTCCGCCCGCAGTTGGCAGGCCCTCTCTGGCACGCTCCGAAACCCAGCTCTTGTACTTCATCATCGGGAACTTCTCATTGACCTCATCCATCGTCATCAGTTTCTTTTCGCGGCGCCGCCGATGGGGACGTTGCACAGTCTCCAGGTTGATGGGCTCGCCATCTTCGTTGGTCATTCTGGCGCGGTTGCGAGCGTTGTATCGGAAGCAATACTTGACACCGACGATGATCCTGCGTTGCATATTAATAAACTGGTTCCAACAAGCCGTGGGGCGCCTTTCTAGCAGAGTGCCTAGGAAACTTTGTATCCCTGGGCTGGGCGCGAAAAGTGAGCAGACTTACCAAAGGTTGGTAAAGACGACACCAAACCCGAGGGCAACAAAGAAGAGAAGTGGCGAACTCGACCCGCCGTTATTGTTGTTGTTGTCGTTGCTCTGGTTTGTGCCAGTCGGCTTTGATGTCTGTGGGCTCTGGACGCCTGTCGAGGTCGGTGTCGGTGTCTCTGCCGGTGTGGATGTGGCCGCCCTCGCGACGAGGGCGACCGCTTGGTGCAAAACCTGATTTACGACGGCCATTTCGATGGTTTGTGAAAGCGCCGCTGGAGGCCCAGGGCTAGGGCAAAAATCCGTCGACGTTTATGCTGGCCGTTGTGTCGGCAGCATGGGCTGCGCGAGGCGAAACCGTCGCGGCCGTTGAGGAGAGGCGCTGCGTCGCCGTTGTGGCCGGGGGAAGGATCAACGCCACGCCTGCATGCAGCGAGGGGGGCTGGGTCGGGCTCGAAAAAGAACTCAATCGTCGGGGGGCCGCTGGCAGTTCGCTCGACGTCGCCCGGTGCGCGGGATGTCGTCGCGCTCGAAGAAGGCGGCGACGCGAGGGCGGAGGGAGGCGAGAGGCGGCAGTCGGCCTGCGATGGGCGAGGAACAGGTCGATGATGGGTCGAGGAAGCGAGGCGAGGATTGCGGAGTGCAGGAGAGAAGAGCGGAAGGGCATCTGCGAGAGAAAAGGAAAGGGTGGAGAGGGAGGGGGGTGGGAAAGCCGACCGGGGTCTGTTAGGGAATGGCCGGGTGGCCGTGCACGCTGGCACTGTGCTGCTGGGACGGTTGGACAACCGCCCGCCAAGGGGGGGCCTCACGTCAGTGGGGGTGGAGCTGGAGGACTGACTGGCGCGGCAGTGCCCACGCCCGGCGGCGGCGGCGCTGAGGGCACCGGTTGCCAACTACTAAGCCAGGTAAGAAGGCCCAGATTGAACCTCTTGCACACTCGGCAAAGGTGAAATAATCCCGGAGTACGTTCATACGTGCCCGCATGCACGATTCAAGTGCCTCACAAAAGCAACAGCAAGCTGTCCTTGCGACCACTGTTCCGGCGCCTTTATCCCACGTCCCAGCTAAGAGGAACCAAGCCAAAGGATGCACGCCTACGGTGTGGGTCCAGTCCAGCGCCCTCTCCGGTGGTGGCCGGCTGGGGTGCAGCAAGCCCAGGCGGGCAGCGGGTCGTGATTGGCTCTGGACGGCCCCGGGTTCCCTGCGCGGGCTGGTCGGTCGCTGGACCAGCCCCAGGCGCGCTGACAGTCTGGACGAGATTTGTCCGACAGAGGCAGGTGCGTTACGTTGCGGGCGTTGGCTGGGGCGCTTCGAGTTTGCTAGGTGGTTGCATGGACATGCTCGACTCCGCGAGTCTCTGTGCGTCTGCGCACCGTATTCCTCCCTGCCTCTTTGGCCCTTGGGTTTCGAGGGAGTGAGCCCGCCAGGTACCTTATGCGAGATCTATTTTCGCAGCGCGCGTGCAGATGGAAAAGATAACTTTTTTTCGCCCGCCCAACTGCCCAAAATGTTGAGACAGATCTGCGCGGTCCTGCATGCGTGCACAGGGGCAGCCCGCCGGAAGAGGTTGAAACACCACGGCAGCAAAAGGGGGAACTCGGGAAGCCTGTCTGCTGTGTGCGGCAGCACATGGTAGCATACCAAGTATATCAGAGTTCAGTGGTTCGAGTTACAGAGTTTCAACGTTTTTTGTTGAACGGCTTCTGCCTCTGGACCGTTCCAACGGTACTCTCCGCCACGCGCTTCGCCAGTACTACCTGTACTTGGAGCTATCAGCTGCTACGCTGTAGCTGACAAGTACTTCTTCCTACCCACACGTTGCAACGGGCGGCGCAACGGGCGGCCGGAAATCGGGGTCCCTCGATGAAGCTTGTCGAGGCTGCGCGGAAGCGATGCCACGCCCGAAACTCTATCACCTCGAATCCGCTCCCCGATGGCGGCCAAAGCAGCCTTGACAGAACCCACCGCCCCCGAGCTTGGCGCGTGACGGCGCCGGCGCAGTCTCTTGTCCGCTAGACGTGAGGGGATGGCCCGATCGCCGACAACGCGGGGGCATCGAGGCGAGCCAGCCGAACTCTGTTTACCAGGTCGACGCCCGCCCAAGTCACCTTGCACGTCGACTCGGGCGAGGTTCGAGTCGAATCACAAGAGAAGAATTGATTCCAATTGCTGTCTGCCCATCTACACGGCATGGTATCCCGGGCGCGAGGCGCAGTGCCGTGCCTGTGATGACGACGACGACAGACGACAGTCGGGGAAGCAAGCCGGAGCCCTCGCCGGCTGCTCCGCTTCCGAGCAAGCCGCTCACGGTCGCGCGGAAGAGCAGAATCCATCGTCATTCACTGCCGGGGAGCCCACTCTTGTCCAACCCCCGGTGGGGTGTTCGTCTCGTGGGTTTGAGGCAGCTAGCTGCTCTGTTACGGTACCACAAACGGATTATTTCAAACGGTACCACAAGTACAGGCACGTCGCGGTTTGTCGGCCCGGCATCACGGCGTCTCCAGACGGACGCTGAGCTCAGTGGCTGCAGCGCCGTGGCATCGCACGCACGGGAAGCTGGGAGCCGCACCCACGCAAGCCCATCGTCGAGCACACCCTCACGACACGCACGGCGCCCTGTCGCCCGTCAGGCGGCTTCCTCGTTTGGCAGCACCGCTGGATCAGAAAGTCCCAGCCTGCAGGACTGACACGCGAGGCCGCCGCGCCATTTCCACAATTTTTTTGGGCATTTGATTCTGCAGGTAGCGCTGCGTAGCGTAGCGAGCGGGCAGGCCAAAGCAGGTCTCAGACAAAACCCGTTTCTCGACTCGGCCAGCAGTCGGCGGGCTTGCCCTGGTTTCCATTCCCCCCCGTGTCGGGGATCGGCTCCATCTGTCTCAGACGCTGGGCCCCCCGGTCGCTGCAATGCCGTCGTCGTCGTCGTCGCTGGCGAGCTGGCAAGCTGGAAAGAACCGCCGTCATTGCGCGGCTCCGTCAAATCAATGCGCGACGCACGCGGGATCGACGCGGGGGGGGAAAGGATGACAATCAATGCTTGCCGCATCGCAACGGCTTCGCTTCGCTTGCTTCGCCCGCCTCAGCGTTGAAAGTCCGCATCGTTGACGATTTTTTTCCTCTCCCTCTCCCCTCGCTGCGCATTTGTCAACGGACACGCCGCCAAACCCTTGTCCAGGACCATTGGAGGCGTGCGTCGTTGGACCCAGGCGCTGGCTGATGCGCTCAGCCCCCCCAAGCTTTCTGGCGGCAGGGGAACCTGCATCAGCGACACACCACCTGCGCCTGGAGGGCACGCTCCAGGCACACGGTGCATTCCTCGGGCACCACGCACGGTGCCCTAGCGTCGGCTCCGGGCGTGGCCAAGGCGAGCGAGGTCAGCAGCCCACCACGCAGAGGGAGAGAGAGGATGGAAGGAAGAGGTGTGATTCCTCAACTCCCCACGGCCCAAACAAGCCGCCCACCCACGCACCGCAACGCAGCGCAGCGCACACCAACGGCGCCATCCATCCATCCACACATCCCATCCGTGATGGCGCCAAGTTGCCAGTCAGGCAGGGTGCTGACGGGCGTGCCGTGGCTGGAGCTGGCCCACGGCCCAGAGCGGAGCCGGTGCGCCGGGGCTGCCCAGCGCTGAAATGCTTCACCCCGACTTCACCTCAGCTGCTCCACCGCGCCGTCTGCCCCGGCTCGATCGGATCTCCCCACGATGGCGCCATGACGGCGACGGACGACGACGGACGACGCGCCGTCGAGGCTATTCGCAGCGGGCTCCAGTTTGCAGCCCGTGCCGTTGGTTGGCGGTTCTTTGTCCTTTTGTCTCTTTTTGTTGCGCGTGCTGTACTGTGCCAAGCATGCAAGTGCTTGCGACGACGACGACGACAAAGGCGCCCTTGCCCTGGACGTAGTCGTCGTCAACGACTCGCCCGGCCCGTCCTCGGCCTTCACGTAGTAGGCAGCGTTCATGCTGGAGCTTGGCAAAAAGCAACGACCCTAATTAGACACGGCAGGCCCAGCGATTGGGGTCGGTGCCTTTTCGGCTGATAGAGTTGCGGCCCGGTTCGATTTCGCCATGCGCAAAAGACGGTCGCGGCCATGGCTACCGTGCTTGTTGGGACGGGAAGCAAGTCTTCAGTGTCCAGGGTGTCGGGCGCCGGCCCCGCCCCATTGTCTTGCCTTTGAAGAGATGCTGCGGCCCGTGCTGAATTGCGAGCGCGGTGCGGTTGCGTCGCAGGGCAGCCATCAATCGAGCCTTGGACAGTCGCTGCGTCGTAACTACCGAGCCACTGCCAGTAGTGAGACTCGCATATGTGGGCTATCGCCTAGTACAGGACTCCGTCCAGAGTGCAGCAAAGGCAGATGGGCAGGGTTCGGAGTTTGGAGCGTCTTGGGCCGAACGCGGGCAACCTCGCACCGGCAGATCGCCCGCGTCGTACAAAGTACTACTTCCAGGTTCTCATATGCACTCCGTGCTGTAGCCAGGCATCCAAGACCCGAACACGTGGGAGCGCCCCCGACTCAGCTCGTCATTGCAGCGCCATGCGAGACTTTTTTTGCCCTTGCGATGCGACGAGCGGGCCTCGAGCGTCCGCCGCTGAAGCACGGCCCCAGGCAAATACTTCTATTTACAGGTCCCTTTCTTGGTGGGAACACGAGACGTCGTCGCAGCCGTGCTCGCATCTGTCAAACTACGTTTCGCGGAGATTGGAGCCCCTCCGTGCCGCGCAGACGCCGCCGGGTGCCCCCTCTCGCTCCTCTGCGCCCCTTCTGCATCTCCTCGGTTACACGAAACAGAAACAGTCGAAATTTAGGGGGGGATCGAGTGACTGCCGTGCGCGGTGTCGTCACTCCGTCGTCGTCCGCGCCGCCGACATCCGCTTGGCACGGCGATCGGTGCCGTTTCTGGCGGCATGAGCCCCTCAGCGCCCGACGACGACGACACAGCATTTGCTTCTGGGACGAGATGCCATGCCAAATCATCAATAATTCCAGTTTTTTGCTGAAAGTGCTGACGACGGGAGGCTTAGGCGCCGAGATGTCGTCGACGAACACGACGACCAGGGATTGTCGTTTGAGGGAGGTGAGGCGCAGTCAACCCCGTCCCCCTCTTTTGTCCGCCGTGGCGTTCCGCTGCCGTCAGTGCCGGGCGGCTCAGCAGGGCCGCTGGACGTTATACCGACTAAGGCACAGTAAGTACTGTACTAAACCTGCTCACGCGGAGGCAGGAACATCCGCGCCGCGGGTGCGTGGAGATGTGCGTGCCGCCGGCGGGCAGATTGATTGCTCCATGGCCCAGGCTTTTGCTCCGTGGTGTTGTTGGACGCCGGGAGGGTTGGCGATGGAAGCAGAGGGCTTCGTCTCGCTTCTCTTGCCCCCGCTTCCCATGTTTCCCATACGAGGAGGGCCAACGACTGCGCGCGCTGCCGGCGGTGCCGATTCGCCATGGGTCCTGGCCGCGATGAAACAGGAAGGACTGTTGTCTGTCAGTCAAATTACGTAGGCATGTCTGAAGAAACTGGCGGCCCAACAGCCCAATTCGATGCCATCTATGCGATCCACAGAAGGTAGATGCCCCTCATCAAGGCGTCTTCAATTGATGCGTTGTACCAAAGTTACTCAGCGCTGCATTGAGGTGGTGGGCCGGGGTGCGCAGCGGACAGTGGAGGCGGGCAATGCGCTTCCCGGGGGCGCGCCACAGCCCGCGCTAGGCCCGATTCGCTCCATTCCTCCAGGCCCGCCAGCTGCAGCCCAATTGACTGGCGCCAAACTCGACGCCTGTTGCACGGAGCTCTCTTGCCTCGACAAGCGCACCAGCGATTGAGACGACGTTTGACGGACCGGACTGCTCGTTGCAGCGCGACTGAAGCAGCCATGCCACCAACGCAGCTGCCCGAATCGGGCAATCCCTTGTAAGTGATCCCTCCTGGCGCTGATGAGGATGATACTGTCGCGGAACGATCAGTCCTCTATGCCATCGTTGACAGCGATGAGCCCACTACGTGTGAGGCGTGAGAGCTGACGATATGGGTTGTGCAGGGTGTTTTTCGACATAACACTGGGAGGTCAGTTCCCCTTGTATCCTCTATAGCGTGTACGGTTGTGCATAGTCACTCTTGGGGGACTGAGAGTATCCCTTCATTGGGCAGCGTCTCCAGTGAGGCCATCGCCAACGACCATGACGGGCACAGCGAGTCACGAGATTTCACACTTGCGTCGACTCGCCCAAGGACAAACAAATCTTAAAGCATGAATACCCTGAACGCAACGCTGACCTGCGCCAGGCGAGCCCCTCGGCCGCATCACCTTTGAGCTCTTCAAGGACGTCGTCCCCAAGACGGCCGAAAACTTCCGCCAGTTCTGCACCGGCGAGTCCAAGGGCTCGGGCGGCCGGCCCCAGGGCTACAAGGGCTCCAAGTTCCACCGCATCGTGCGTTTCTCCCCTCCGTGTCTCGATGAACACCCCGGCGTGGATGGACCTGGATGCAAAGTCGGCTGACCCCTGAGAAACCGCCGGGCAGATCCCCAACTTCATGTGCCAGGGCGGCGACTTTCTCAACGCCGACGGCACCGGCTCGACGACCATCTGGGGCTACAAGTCCTTTGAGGACGAGAACTTTACGCTCAAGCACGACAAGCCGGGTCTGCTGTCCATGGCGGTACGTCTCGTTTTCTTCCTCCTGCTCTTGCAGATCCAACCCTTTTCTTCTCCTTCTTCCCTCCTGCTGACCCTCCTGTGACTGGCGCAGAACGCGGGCCCCAACAGCAACGGCTCGCAGTTCTTCATCACGACGGTGCCGACGCCCTTCCTCGACGGCAAGCACGTCGTCTTCGGCAAGGTGGTGGACGGCTTCGATGTGGTCAAGAAGATGGAGGCGACCAAGACGGGCTACAGGGGCAAGGACGTGCCGAACCTGGACGTGGTGATTGCGCAGTGCGGTGAGATGTGACGGAGGCATGCTACACGTTGATGCTTGTTTTGGCAGGGGATGCGGTCCGTCACTGATTCCGGGTACGTGCTACGGAGGAAACGCTCGTGGCATGGGACGGACGGGCACGAGGCATTGCTATGCTGGACACGGACGGGTATCAGGCTACGCGATAGGCAAGCTGGAAACATGCAAGTCACACAAAGCGCATTCTAGACGCGCCTCCAGCGTAATCATCATGTGGCGCTCACGTGTCACACTCGCCGTCATGGGGAATGATCACAAGTAAATCGCAAACGCGGATCCATATCCGCATGTTTTCATTCCGCGTACCTAAAAACGCCCATCCGTTGATGCGCCGGGGCTCCTCTGATACCGCACCGCCCAGCGCGGGCATCCGAAGAAGAGCACAAGGAAAAAAGAAAAAGACCAAAGGACAGTTCCTTGTCCCCCTCCCCTAATGCGGTTTCGCCCTTCGCAGGTGCTGTAGAGGACTTCATCTCGTCGCGAACATGTGCTGCCCCGCGGGAGATTGCCATTCCGCCTTGTCCTGTAAACACCCTCGTGCTGAAAGGGGCAAACGCAGATCAAAGGAAAAGAAACGATCGTTGAAAGGAAGCAACGACAATGACAACAACGAAATCGAGAAAAAATATGTACCGTAGAAACGAACGTCTGCGGCGGCGCTGAGAGCACAGCATAGCACCGCTCCCCCTGCACTCTTTTCTGTGCGCACCCTGTCGCACATCTTGGTTCTTCTAGTCCGACTCCGTTAACGCGGGGCTGTTCTCGCCGTTTGCACTCTTCTCTTGAACGCGCCATGACAAGGAGCCAAGCCATACCGAGCATGTTCGAACTTTTTGTTCAATGGCGATCCCATGAGTCGCAGCTACGCGCGGGGAGTGGCGGCGGCTCGCTTCTTATGCGGCCTGAACGGTCTAGCGGTGCGCTTATCGTACGGCGCGTCGTTTGTGCCGACGGGCGAACTGGTCGGCGCTCCTGCGGCGGGAATGTGATGGGTCTTCGTGACCACGACGGTGGAGGTCTGCGCGCTGGACTGGCCCGGGGCCGCGCGAGAGCCGCTGGCGGTGACGTACACGGTGGACATGACGGTCGTGGCCGGGACGGTGACCGTCTTGATGACGGTGGCGGTTGCGCCTGCGTCTCCGCCGTGGAGGGATGTCGGTGCCTGGGCCGGGGCGGTGCCGCGGCCGGCGGTCCTGGTTATGGTGACGAACGTGGTGGATGTGGACATGTCGCAGTCAGAGCCAGGGCGAGTGACGGACTGCGAGCCTCCGGGCGTGGGAGCAGTCGGAGCGGGCAAAGGAGTGATGGTGGTGGTGGGCTTGGGCGCGCCGTCCGGGGCAGACGCAGTGCCGGTCTCGTCTCGGCCGCCGATCTTGACGTCAAAGTCGTTGTCCATCTGGCCCTTGACAGCCATGTTGTAGATGTTCTTGGGCTGAGCGTTTGCGGCTGTCGCGCCGCCCTGCTCCTTGGCCACGATGCCGGGCAGCTTGTCGGTGATCTTGATGTCGAGGACGCTCGAGTAGCTCTCGTTGACGCGGATGGCGTCCATGGTCCAGCCGTTGGGCACCTTGTCGCCGCGCATGAAAGAGCCCGCCCAGGGGAACAGGCCGTTCTTGGTGGCCGCGAGGTCAATCTTCTTGTCGTTGAGCGTGGGCCAGTCCCAGTACCAGTAGACGGTGTAGACGGAGCCGGGCTTGGCGTCCTTGGGGATGGTGACGACGGACTGGCACTTGAGCTCCTTGTCGGCGGAGGCGCCGTCGCCCGAGAACTTGGCGACGCGCTCCTGGGCGAGCGGCTGGTGGTTGTCCTGGAAGCACTGCCCGTCGTCGTAGTTTCGCGTGGCGAGCAGGCGGCCGCGCTTGTCGCCGCCCTGGCCGTCGGCGGCCCAGCGCAGGTGCACGTCGAAGAGACGCTCCTGGGGCTTGGGCTGGGTCGTGCCGTAGAGGTAGACGGTGCCGCGGTTGAGGGGCTTGCCGGGCTGGTTCTGCGGCAGCGTGACGTGGCCGTTCTCGAGGTGCAGGAGGGCGACGCGGTCACCGGGCCGGGCCTGCAGCAGCGGGTGAGGCGGGTTGGCGTCGAAGGGGTACTTGTTGAGCACCTCGTTGCCCGTGTATGCGGCGGTGCCGACCGCGGGGAGGAGGTTCTGCGCCTGCTTGTCGCTCCAGCCGGGCTGCGTGCGCGGCACGTACCCGCGCGGGAAGCCCTCCGCGCCGACGAAGGAGCCGTTTTCGCCGACGACGAACGCCGACTCGATCCACGAGTGGGCGGACACGGCGCTGGCCGAGGCGAGGAGGGCGGTGATGCCGCCGCTGAGGCTGCGGTGGCGGCGGGTGGAAGACGTGGCGAGCTTCATTGCTGTGGTTTTCCAAGTGGTTATGGCGCGCCTCTCGTATCCTGAAAACACCAAAAGGCGGTTCTCCGGAATGAGTATGCGGACGGGTTCTGAAAGGAGCGTGTCGACTTGATATCGTCGAGTTGTCGCTGAAGCGTGTATGATGATCTCGCGATGGCGTTCTAAACGCGGGATTGCGGAAAACGAGAAAAGAAATCTCGTCAAGAGTTCGAAATCGGGGTTGCGTGTTGTTGTTGTTGGATAGTTGAGAGACGTGAAAAATGAAGAAGAAGAAGAGAATGTTTCTGCGAAAACGGAAAACCGAAAAGGAGTGTGCGAAACCAATAAGTCTTCAAAATGTGACAATGAGTGAATAGCCGGCTCGCCTTGGTCTGCGGGTTTTGCACGGCTTGCAACAAGTGAGCGTGGGTAGTTGGAAGACGGTGTGTTTTCTCCCCAACGGGTGGGGGAAAGGGCAAGAAAAAAGGTTGAAGGCGAGGTTTGTTGTTGTTCAGAGGGAACACAACAATGGGAAACACGTGCGCGCGGTTTATTGTGACGGGCAGCTTGTTCTCGTGCGTGCGTGCGTGCGGTGCGTTGCCCGTGGTCACCTCGCTTTCTGAAGAGTGAACAGCAGCAACAGGCGCACAGCTGGTTTGCGTGATGCTCGGTCGGTTTGCACGAGGCAAAGAGCGGGCGGGGTGGAAAACCTTCACTCGACAGCGTCCCGCGTTGTCGAATGCGAAGAATGGGGGGTGGGCGAACAAACAAACACGCACGAAAAACGTGATCTAGAAGAGCAGAAGGGGGGAGTGCGGTTCTGTAGAGTTGCCTCTCAGTGTTCTTTGTTCTTTTGTTGTTTCCCGTGCGTGTGACTGACGAAGGTGTTTGTCGATGAGGGCGCCGCGTGGTGCCTACGAGCGGCAGACGGGCGGACAGGCGGCGGCGAGACGGGACACACAGAGGCGGCCGTGAATCGGGGCGTGAGGTTTGCCGGCAGCAGCAGCAGCAGCAGCAGCAGCGCAGCGCGTGAGTCACTGCCGGGTTGGGGCTCCAGGGCTCGAGCGGGGGGAGGGGGCAAGTTCGGACGGAAGAAGAGGTCACTCCAGAATGAGGTGAGGTGAGCGACGGCGGCGGCGGTTTTGCTCAAGTGTCAAGGCATCATGTCATGGTCGTCATGGAGAAGGCCACGGCTCGTATGCCGCGTCACCAGGGGGAAAAGCAAATGGGAGGAGGAGGAGGCTACAAACGCATCCAACAGAGGAGCAACAGAAAACGTTTTCTTGCATTGTTACAGAAGATGCTAGACAGATATGGGCCCTTACTCATCCGTTCTCGTGCTATATTAACCAAGGTGCCGTTGCAGCCAGCGGATAGGCAGGCTGGCTCGCAGGCGCGCATAGGAGGAGGGCCAAGGCGAACCTAGGAAGGGCTTTGACACCGTGGTCGTCGAGGGGCCGGCCACGGCGCAGCCTATCGATGCGTGGCGTGATGAGCGGTCGCGACGAGGCGGCCGCGCTGCGAACCAAGGCACGGCGGCGCGGGTGTCGTGGTGACGGAGAGTCGGACGGGGGGCGGGGGGCGATTTAGCGAGAGAGGTGAGGTTGAAGTTGGAGTGAGGTTGAGCGTGGGCCAATGGATCCCGCCGTCCAGGCCTGGTGTGTGTTTCACTGCGAGTGAGGTGTGGCCGCCTCTGTGCAGCAGCTGCCGCCGGGTCCCAGGCCCCACCGATGAATGTGGCATGGCAAGGTACCTGTCCGGCGTGGCCATGCGGTGAGGGTACATTGGGGGGCATTGGGGGGATTGGGGGCTCTAGCTGCAAGGCTGGGCCTCCCGTCTCCCGTCCAGTGGCTGCCCAGGCTGGCGAGCGCTGCGGCAGCGACCCGGAACGCCTGCCGAGGCGTTGGGGCTGCACCCGGGATCAGGGCTCCATGCCCAGGCAGGTCTAGTTTACGCGCGCGTGGGCGGTTCCAAACCCGGAAAAAACAGGCGCCCCTGGGCCGCTGCGGTTGGCCGCCAGGCGCGCCACCAGCCGTTGCAAGCGCACGCCTCTGCCGCGCCTCGACTGGCTGGCGGCGCTCGAGGCGACTTATATTGCGGCTTTTCGCAACACAACGTGAGCCGCCCTCTACGGCCTTGAATGCCCGTCGGTCTGCCACTGCGGCGGCCGCCGCGCCGCGCGCTTGAAACGCCGGGCCCGGCAGTGTTACCTGCCTTGCCAAGTTTTCATCGTCGTACCTATGCTGGACCACGAGCGAGAGGGACCAGACCGTAGGTTCAGACCAATACGGGCTTCGGAGCACGATGCCCGACGTTCCATGGCAGGCGGGGGCGGCGGCTGATCAAACGGCAGACGGCCCTATGAGCCGGGGGTGACATCCGATCGCTATTTCGCGGCCAGTGCCTGGTCTGCGAGACCTCCATGCCGTGCAAAGCAAACCGGGTAACATGATGATGAAGATGAAGAAGCACAAGAAAATAGCATTGATGAAAGATTAGAGAAGAGAAGAGGGACAGGCCGACTCACACGCGCACACGACCTTGCCCCGTCCGTCCCGTCACCCCCGTCGTCGGCTCCGGCCCTCCCCGGCGCCCACCTCCTCAGCCATGGATAATACAACCGCTCCCGAGCCGGGCGGCGGACCCCTTCATGACGCCATGCCGTGCCTTGCCCTGCCGCCGTCCCCCTGCCGCCGTCCGTGCCTTGCCGCTCCTCCATCCATCCACGAATGTCCATCCCGCCGGCCGGCGCGCAATCTTGCCTCGTGCCTGGCAGATACCCCTCGTCACGAGGCGTGCATGCATGCATGCATGCGCCTGCATAATCGCATCGCGGCGGCGCGTCCGCTACAGACGCAGGGCTCCTCCATCCCGTCCCCTTCATTTCTAGAACTTGCGCTTGTAAACGGCCGTCCTCCCCGCGTCTGCGTCCGCGCGGGGCGAAACGACGAGGAAAACCTGCTTCGTGAAGCCTCCCTGCCGTTACTGGCTTGTTCGTCCGGTCCTTCGTTGGTTTGTGTGTGTCGATGGATGGCGCTGCATCAAGCTCAAGTAAGCCCCTCAGCGACACTAACATGGCGCGCATGGCACTTTGCCCTGTCAAGTACGAGTATGCGCACGAACGCTCTCCCTCGTGCTCCCATGCAGTCGATGCCTTGGAACATGATGGTGCCTTTAGCACGGCCAGGTAACTAGTAATCAAGGCCCTTCAAAGGAGCGCCCGTTGCGCGTGCAGTCAATTCTATAGCAAACTCCCTTCCAAGGGTTCAATCGCTCGCTCGCTCACTCAATAAAGCCCAAATAATTCCTGCCCTCCATTCCCCCCTCCTCGCGCTTCCTCCCCTCGCCCCGTCCGACTCTCACCATGCCCCTCCGCATTCCCAACTTTCCTTGAAATCATTCAATTGCCCAAATCCACCTGCCCGCTAATGGGGGAAAAAAAAACTCTCTCGTAGCACGGGCAGCACACAATGGAGGGTCGCAGGCATTCAATGCGGCGGCCCTGCGCGCCCGCCCGAATTCCAAGGCAGCCCTTTTACGCTGCACCGCCGCCGCCCTTGCACCCCCTCCCCCGCGATTCCCACAACTGGAGCTTTTCCTCACGCACGCACATGTACAAGCACACGCACACACCCAAGCAAGCACCGCCGCGGCGGCCGCCAACCGGAGCATTTCTGTATCGTACAGATTAAATCGCACGGCAGGGGCAGCAAGGGGAAAAAAGCAAATGAGCTCATGCAAGCACTTAAACGCTGGTCAGCGGGGGAGGGGAGGGAAGGAGAGGGGGGAGGCTCTTCTCTCTCTCGATTCCCATCGCTCGCTTGCCTCTCCCTTGCATGAGGGGAGCGCCTCCCGCGCGGCGCGTTCCTGGGCTAAGTGAACAATTGGGAACCCTCCCCCCCCCCCCCCCGGAGGAGGACCCTCTCAGCCGGCGACCGGGGGAGGGGGTGTGCATCGTGCAGCGCCCGGACGGGCCGGTCGATGGGTGATGATCCACACTCCAGCTTTTTTTTTTTCTCTCTCTCTGCTGAAGAGACACTATTTTTGGGGGGACACTGCAAGGCGTATGTAGGTACGCGTGCGAGGCGTGCATGAATGCGTGCATGCATGTTCGTGAGCCCCAGAGGAACGTTGCTTGTTCCCGAGCGTTGGTTCACCTCTATTGTGCATGTGCTCTGCGAACGCCCAGGAAGGAAACACATCTCGGTACCAGATCATGTTCACCATCGTAATGCTCATCAAGTAGGGGAAAAGAGAAAAGCTTGCTGGATTTCGTAATAGTAGCGTTTGCTTCAACATCTAATCATGTGGTATTATTATTCGTCAAGAAACGTCAAACGACGCAAGGCCCCGCGTAGAGCATTCAGGAACTTTCAAATCTCCGCGCCCTTTCGTCCCCCCGAAACGCCTCTTTGAAAAGAAAGAACCACCAAGTTGGCCGGTCAATGGCGGTTGTTTTCGCGTACGCCCGTAATAGTCATCAAGAAAAAGCCAGACCCCTAGAAAAGCCGTTTGATATCGTAGTCGTCGCCGTGAAACAAGTACAACTCCCGCAGCAAGCAGCAGAAACACAGTTCGTGTCTAAAGCGAGAAGGAAACTTCTGCCGTTGCAACGCTTCACCATCCAGCCGTGACCGGCACGTGGCTGTCAATCGCGTCCCTCCGCCTCTTGATGGGCCTCGGGCTCCCGCCTCGCTCGTGTGAGCCCGGCGGCGCCCCGGCCGTCATGGCGGGCCACTGGGGTGGCGCCCACATGGCTGCTGCTGCTTGCGCCGCTGCGTGATGGCCGCCCTGCGGTTCCATCTTGGGCGTAGGCCCCCATTCCGTCGTCGCGCTGGGCGGGCCGGATGCCGTGCCCGTCCAGCTGTCGAGGGCGGCAATGTCCCAGCCCGGCATGCTGCCCGTGTCGCACCCCGAGCTGTCGTACACGAGCTGGTTGGGCAGGTCCAGCGCCGTCGTCGCCGCAGTCATGTAAGAGCCTACCCCGTTATTCATGGGCTTGACGTCACCAAAAGACGACTGCCCGTCAAAGTACGTCTGCGTGCTGCTCAGTGACGTAGATTGCCTGTCGCTCACACTGCTTGCTGTCGTGCTGGGCAGGAAGCTGACGCCACCGTTGGAGCTCATGCCTGCGTCGAAGCTGCTGCTCGTCGAGTATGCGCCGGGAATCGTCGCCGTCGGCGGCGGGGTGGCCAGACCGCCTGAGAAGGAGTCAAAGAGACCCAAGCTTGTGCTAGACGTCTGCAGCGGGGGCACATGCGGCGGGCCGTGGTGTTGGTGCTGGTGGTGATGGCTGCTGCCGTTGCTGCCACCGTTGTCCCAGGCGTTGAACGTCTCATTCATGGCGGCCGTGAGGTGCTGGTTGATGGTCGGCGTCGGCGACATGATGGCATCCCGGGGCACACCCGCCGTCGGGTACACGAGAGCCTTTTGCTGGTGGTAGCGCGACATGGGGTCGTTGATGGTGAGCCACCGCCACGTCGTGCCCGCGGGCTTGAAAACCGGGTTATACTTGTGCCACTGGTTCGTCGTGTTGAAGCGCCAGAAGATGATGGCCTGGCGCGTCCACTGCGTCGAGTCGGGTGCGCACGACCACAGCTCCTGATACATGGCCACCTTGCAGATGAGGTCACTGCCCGTGGGCTCCCGACGCGCCCACGAGGCAGCGTCGCCCTCGTCCTCGGAGCGCTTGCGCTTGCTGCCGGCCCGCTCAACGTCCTTCTTGTCGCCCTCGACATTGCGGCGGCGCTTCTCCTTCATGCGCTGGTGCTCGGCGTCGGGGTACTGCACGGCCATGCTCAGGATGCTGGCCCACTCGACGGCGGGGAAGGGGACGTGGATGTCCGGTCGGGGCCGCGTGTGGCAGTCGCAGTCGTTCTTGGAGTCACTGCAGCCACGACGGTGGATGCCGCTGTCGTTGGTGTAGACACCCTGCTTCCCGTCGTCGCTGTGAAGCTCGCCGGGCCGCGTGAGCCGCGTGATGCACTTCCAGCGGTGGGTCTGGAGAGCAGGTTGGGTGATGGCAACCTCGACGAAGCCCGTCAGCTCCGAGCCCGACGGGAACTTGGCGTGTTCATGGAGCTCGATGGTGGAGCACATCTCAAGTAGGAGACACTCCTCGTCGCGCGCCGGGAGGTCGAGCGTCTCGTACATTGCCGGCGCATCCTTTTGCCAGCGGCGCGTGACGGACTTGACGCACGCCGAAGTGGTGCGGTCGAGCGACCGGGTGTACTCGTGCAGAAGCACATCCTTGCCAAGCACGTTGGGGCTGTCGTCGCAGTTGGTGTACTTGTTCAGGTGGGGAAATGAAGTTTGATCCAGCGGGTTGTCATGAGCGTCGTAGGCGACGTCATCCCGGATCTTAATGTCGGAAGACGAGACAAAGACCTCGCAAGTCTTGGGCCGAACGCAGATGGATGACTGCAGTGCCAGAAGCTGAGAGAAGTAGTCGTAGTTGGGCTTGACGTCGGGAACCCTGCCCTCGGCCAACGCCGTCAAGACCGGATTGGACTTGAACGACTCCTGTTCCTCCTCGTCATAGTAGTCATCCGAGTTGGTGGAGCCGGGCTCCTTCTTCTCTTCGGACGGGAAGAGGAAGTGAACTGCGTGCTTGTCAGCTTCTGTACCAATTTATCGGGGCACACTTGTTGCGCTTACAGCAACGGAGGTCCTCAAAGAACTTCTTGACGACCTGCATGTGGCTCGACACCTGCTTGCGCCCCATCTGCTCGATACTCTCGTTGCTGTTGTCGATGCGAAAGATTTCCTTGCTGCCAAGCAGCGCCACGCAAATCACAAAGATGTACTCGCTGATGAGCATGTTGCGCCCATGGAGCTTGCCCCCCATGGAGAACTTGCGGCGGCCCATATGGGGCATGAGCAGGACGGCTAAGACTTGGTCAGCATGCCTGAAGATGAGTAGCGAAACGGCAGCAACATACAGTCAACGAAGGCATCTTCGAGCTCCGGGCGACGCCAAACGCCGCCCTTGTCCTTTTGCGTGTCCTTGTGGGCTTGCCTGTTGCGGTACTGCCTAAAGGCAGGCCAGTAGTAGAGGGGGTTGACGTGGCGAGGCTTCCTCTGGTAGCGAGGAGGCTGCTGGCGAGGCGTCGGGACTCTGTAGAGGCAGTCAAAGGACTGCGACGGCACCATGGGAGCCGGGATGTTGGGCTGCATGGACGGTGACAGCGTCACCGGGCTCTGGTAGCAGGCGACGATGCCGCCATTGAAGCTGTGCGCCTGGGCGTTGCCGGTGGACTCGCGCAGAGGCATCCGCCCGGGGACGTGGACGCCGCTGGCGCTGCTGCTGCGGCGGCCGTCGACGTAGTCGGGCGACTGCGAGTATCTCTGCGAGGACAGGACCGGCCTCGGCTGGTAGAGTGACGAAGACATGCTGAACGAGCTTGGACGCCACTCGAGGAATGCCAACGGCGAATGCTCACGAGAACAGGCTCGGCCAGCGCAAATGCCTTGTGCTCCTGTGCAAGCAACCGCGAGTGGCAGGAAGAGAGAGACGAGCGAGTTGAAGAGGACAAGAAATGCTGAAAGGAATTTGGGAACGCGGAATGGTGGGTTAAATGTATGCTGTGAAGGGGGCGAGGTCGACAACTGGAACGAAGATTGTCGTCCGCCGACCAAGGTATAAGTCCAAGACCAAGACCCGATGTGGAGGAGACGACGGCGACGGGCAATGAATGAATGATATTGACAAAGGGTCGTCGGCAACGACGCCCTGCTACGTACTACTCGCACTTACAAGTACTACGGCGGCACACCCGCAGCTGGGCCGGCGGGGGGAGGGGCATGGGCATGGGGCAAGGCCCCTCGCCAAACCATCCCAACCCAAAAGGATCGAGCTCCAACTGCAAAACATCGAGCAAGGAGCACGAGAGGGAAGGGTGGAGGTAGTAGTGGTGGTGGTGGTAGTGCGTAGTGGTGGTGTGGGTTGATCGGGCTCGTCGTGGTAGGTGGGCAGGGTTGTTGCTCAACACCACCACCGTTATCCGCAACCACCCCCCATGACGAGCGTTGCCTCGCTCTCTTACGAGCAGCGCAGCAGGCATCAGTGTTTCCAGCGCCGCCGGGACTTGGCTCTTGGGGGGGGCACATGGCAGCCGGAGGTCTGCAGCGAGGGCGTTAGCATGCAAGGGAGGGCGCGGCGGGGCCTCTGCCTCTCTGCCTCTGGGGGTCTCATCACCAACACCCCTCGGCAGAGACACACGCCTTGGCTGAGCGCCTCGCGCCCGGTATGCAAAAAAGATTGCCATCAGACAACACGAGCTTGAAGCTCCTCCACATTGTCGACAATCGAATTCTTGCCACGGCACGAACTCGCCGTCGTTATTTTGTCGCCTGCGCGAGCCCGCCGCCGATGCTGCTGAGCCTCGCTCTCCCTCCACGTCGAGAGCCTCCTTCACCCCGCAGCGACACACCCCCCCTGCAAAGGGAGACGGTAATGCAATATGGGCGCCGACGACCGCAGCGCGCAGTAGTCGCAGTGTTAGAGCAACGCAGGAGTGAATGGGCAATCTGCGACGTGGGCCAGGGAAAGCCTTGTTCGAACAACCTCGTGCCCTCTTCCGCGCGGGCAGCCAAATAGTTTAGTTTCTTGGTTTGGTCGGCTCTCCTTCCCATCAGGATTATCGGATTATCCTTCGAGGTCCTCCTCCCCGTCGTTGCCAATATTCACCTTCTTCCTCCCTCCGCCCGTGAGCCGCTGGAGGGCCACCTTATTGGCCTGGCCCCCTACCTTGCGCTGCATCTTCTCGATCTCCTCCTCGGCGTCGACCGCCTCTGCCTCCGCGTAGTCGAGCACCAGCCGCCGGCCGAGCAAGTGAGTATCCCGCAGGGCGTTTAGCGCGTTTTCCGCCTCCCGTGGGGTGACAAAATCAGCAAACGCAAACCCCCTGGTGGTGTGGTCCGCCTTCTTTGGAACGCGGACCGATCTGAGCTGCCCGTACGTCCCGAATAGCGTCCGTATGTCCTTCTTAGTGGCTTGGAAGGGCAGGTTCTTGATGACGATCTTGGTCTTCTGCGCCGCCGCCTTCTTAGCCCGATCTTCCCGCCGCCTCTCCTCGGCGGCGTCGTGGCCCTTGTGGGACGCCTTGACCCCCAGTGTGTGCCCATCCAGCACGTAGCCGTCCATGACCTTGAGCGCCGCCGTGGCCTGCTCCTTGCTTCGAAACTCGGCGAAGCCAAAGCCCATGCTCAACGTCTGCCCGGGCTTCTTGGGGTCCATCTTCGTCTTGACCCGCGCCGAGACGAATCCGTCGAGGGACTGGAAAGCTTCAGCCAGCTTGTTAGTGCTCGTCGCGAAGTTTAAATTGCGGATAAACAGAGAGGTTGTTTCCGCCTCGTCCGCCCTATCGCCGCCTGACAGCAAGTCGTTGACGCTTAGCTTTTGGACCCCTGTCGTCTTTTGGTCGGCCGCCGGCGTCACGGGCGGCCCTGACTGGTCGCCTTTGAACAGATCTTTGGGGCCCTTCTCCAAGAACAGCACGCTATCCTTGATGCGTCGGTAGGCGAGCTTGCCAAACGCGGCCTTTGCGTGGTTCGCCTGGGCGAACTGCACAATGGCGATTGTGCCGCTCGGCGGCATCAGAACCTTGAGCACCGGTCCAGACTCCTCGAACATCCGTCTGAGTTCGTCCATGGTCGTGCCGTACGAGAAGTTCTTGACGAGGATGGAGGTGTCGCCCCGCTTTTGCGACTTGAAGGCGTCCAGGTCCACCCCATTCGCCGCGAAGTAGGCCTTGGTCTCTTGGATCACCGTCGTCTCCGCAATGGCCTGTTTGATCGCCGCGTCCGCCGACGTCGGGTCTAGCATCTCCGACTTCGAGACACCCAGGCGGCTGGCGATGGACGTGTTGACTGCGTCCTGGTTCATGTAAAGCGAATTCCAGTTGAACGTTGTCGACGCCGCCTCAGCCTTCTTGCGAATCAGGTTCTGCTTCCTCAGCGGTAGCTTGGAAATTCCAAACTCGTCCAATCCCAGCTCTTTCTTGCGGCTCGCTGGAATGATGTGGATGATGCGTCCCTGAAAAGTTGCCCCATCCATCGTCTGGAATGCCTTGACCGCATCCCCTGGATCTGTAAACAAGACCAGCGCAAATCCCTTGCCGGTGCCTGCAGCGTTAGTGGGCAAGTGTACCTGCATACGAGTTAGCCATCGGCTCACTGACACAGCTGATCAGGCACCCTCTTGTCAAGCGGCGTTCGCAAGGCGTTGGCTCAGAAAGTCGAAGCATCTACTAAAATTTTCGCCCAGGGTCTCATCATATACCGAAGTATAAGCTGTCCCTATCTGGGGTTCATCATAGCGCCTTGGGTCCCGGCGGACTCCTGGTGAGGAAAAGAAAGAAAGTCAATCGTCACGTACCTCTTGCAGGCTCCCAAACTCTTCAAACGCGTCCCGGATGTCTTCCTCCGTAACACTGAACGGCAGGTTGCGGACAAAAAGCCGAGACGTCTTGGAGATTGCGTCGACAGCCGCATCACCTGTCGTCATCTCCTCGCCCGTGGTCGCATCCTCCACCTCGTCATGTGTCACTTCTTCGGAGGAATTCTCTGTCTCTTGTTGTGGGGGCCTTTCCTCGGGTCCAGGCGCCTGCTGCGCCGGGAGGTCGTCGGGATCGACCAGATCCAGCAGCCTGTTGGTTCTTGACCGCAGCCAATCGTCATCTGTCGCTTCGGTGGCCGGAGCCTCGTCGCCTCCCTTGACTTGCTCGGCAGCCTCAGCCGCCTCTCGAGTATCGTCAGCAGGGCCGGGATCAGGTGCCTTGTCATCCCTCGGTGGCGGTGGGTGAGCCACATGGACGGCTCTGGTTGGAGAGTCTGTCCTCCGAGACTTCTCTTTCCTCGCTGGGATCTGCTCGTACTCATCGTCACTCTCGCCCTCTGGAACAACCGTGGAGCCGGCCTCAGGATAGGCCCCAGCGGCGTCCAAGGTGGTGTCGTCGGCGATGACGCCCTCCCGACCGGTCTTCATGACCTGTAAGAACTCTCGAAGCTTCGGGTCCGCCTTGACCGGCTCGTCTCTCTTCCGCTTCTTTGGGTTCACATCCTGGTCTGACGTGACCCGCGCGGCACCGCGGCTCGTTGACGCATCAGCAGCGCGGGGGCCGTTGTGGTGGTTCTTGGCGAGGGCTGGGTCTGAGATCTAGCATTCCATCAGCATCAGCAGCGGGAGGAGCGGCGGGATCGGCCTTACGGCTTTGGCGGGCTCGACTGAGATCCTGGACATGCGGATGTACGACCTGTTGAAGTACTTGACCGCCTTGGAGGCGACGTCCGCCGTCTTGTAGCCGACGTAGCCGATGCGTCGCTGGGGTATCAGCTTGACGTCCGTCACCTCGCGGTTCCCCGTCGAAAAGTGTTTGCGGAAGTCTGCCTCGGTGATGTTGGGCGGCAGACCCTTGACAAATATTCTTGATGTCGCCATGGTGTCGACGAGGTCTTCTCAGTCGTTTCGTGATTATTGCGCTGTCATGAGGTCTGCCCGCAGCCTCTGCGCCGGTGGTGAAGAAAAAAAAAAAGTTGGCTGAGTTGCCAGGGTCGATTGTTTTGGTGGGACGGCGACGCGATAAATTTTCCTCCGCAAGCTCGGGGCTTGCAGTTTCCACTACCCTATACCCGGCCGTGTCCGAGGTGAATATCTCAGCAACTGGATGTCTCGCTTTCTATGCTACTCTGTGGCTCGCATTCATTACCCTCTATTGTATTTGGGCCTGGTTATTTGGTATTGTTTGTGGAGATGGAGTCGACACGTTGCGCACCCTTCGTTGTGTTGCTGGTGAGCTGGAATGATTGTCAGTGTAATTGCATGGTGAACCCTATTGGGAAACGCATGGCAATCGGATATTCAACGTCGGCCACATGTAATTTTTTGTCTTTGACACACACACGGTGATTATGCGAGGATCACAGAGTAATAAACGCTTAGAGTGTTTTGTTTATCAACTATTTACCCCCCCCACGGCTTCCTCACACTGTTATCAATGAGGCATCGAGAGTCCCACTGACACGACAGGTGGAGCATGAGGGCCAAGCTGAATAGTCTGCATTAGGGCAGAAATTTTCAACAACCACCAGCGGTGAGATGGCCGAGTTGGTTATGGCGTCAGGTTAAGGTTAAAATCTTAACATTAATTTCCTGATGGAGCAATCCTCCTGGGTTCGAGTCCCAGTCTCATCAGCCTTTTCTTTTTGGCCTCATTCATAATTTTTTTTTGGCACGATCCACGACGTGGAGCTTTTATTCAACTTGTGCTGGTAAATCCCTCATCAATCATCGTCGGTGAGATGGCCGAGTTGGTTATGGCGCCAGGTTAAGGCTTTCAAGCGTTAACGAATGTTTCCTGGTGGAGCAATCCTCCTGGGTTCGAGTCCCAGTCTCATCATGACTTTACTTTTTGCCCTGTTCTCTGCGGTGGCCGCGTTCCTTTTTGCCTTGTTCGTCCATAGGGCTGCTGGACCTGCGGCAGGGCCTCATTAAGTGGGAACAGATCACTTGTCACATCCTGACGGCAACTCTACAGTAAGTCGAGGGCCCGGGCAGGGAGGCGATGTTCAAGCCGGGAGGAGCACGGCCTATATCAGGAGAGACTGTATAGGACCCCGCGAGTGCTTGGCCCGGGCTCTCGGACTCAATGCTCCGTGGACGTTGAAGGCAACGCACTTGCCACACAAACCGCGGTTTCCAGCGCAGACTGTCTTTTTGAGGGTCGAAGAAAACATGGGTCGCTTGTCCATCTCTCCTCTGAGTAGCGGCAAGCCCCCGAGTGCGCTCTGCCAGCTCAGCACTGACATATAAGTCGAATATCGTCGTTCCACTACCACATACGACCATAGGTAGTGGAGAATTTCGGATCCCGTCCGCTCTCCGGTAAACAAGCCACTAACCGGCAGATTAGTAGTTGGGTCGGTGACGACCAGCGAACACCGGCTGTTGTATGTTTTTGTTCTTTTTGCCGTTGTCTTTATTTTTGCGTCATCGGGGTCGTGGTCGAGGCTTCGAGCCAGGTCATTCCACGTCCCTCGGCAGCTCATGTTGCGATATACCACTTTACGTATATGTGCCATCGGAGTGAACTCATTGACTAGCAGTATATGTTCGTTCCCGTGGTTGGTCGAGCTAAAGGTCGTCGGCTTTGTTGCCAACATTTGGTGCCGTATGCTTCAAGTTCCAGGGTCGACTACATGCAACAGCTCGAATACGGACAGTGCACCGACATCAGCTCCCAGCCCCTGGCACCGTTTGGTCAGCTGACCACGAGTCGAAACCAGGACAAACATTGCTTTTGGCGTCTGCGCACGTCGTCCTGATCCCGTCGGCATCGGCTACCAGAGCCCAACATTGAAGGCAGCTTGGCCATGCAGCAGGCATCAAGTCATCCTGGCCTGGCGGACCGTCAACAGCGTAAACCCAGCCCGACAAACAATTGAAGACTCCGGAACAAACCTCTCCTCACCGTGGATCATCAGAACCGTGGCGCCCTGTGCATGCATGTGGTGATGGCATATCCACAGTATTCTTTGGACGAGGAGCTCGCCAATTTCTTCGCAAAAACCACGGCCAATCGTTCAGCCTGTGATGCGCGGGCGGAGGAGCTTGTTGGTGGTAAGGCTACACCCGTCGCAGTGCAGGGAAACTGCAGCTACTCCGTCTACGCTGGCCCATGCTTGGAGTATGTTGTTCAGTTCCGGCTGGAGTCTCTGCGACTAGATATGGGTGTCACCTCACTGGCGACACAATTATACGGGGGTTGGTTCCGGCCGTCTCTTTTGAGGGCCAAATCGGGGACGGATCAAAAGACAAAGAGCCTCTTCACGTATATGTGATGAGTCGTCTAAAAGGTGTGACCCATTTGGACTTCATTCTCTCCCATGACTCTCCAGATAATTCGCCTGAAAGCTCTGCGAGGCGGCGCAGATTGATGGTTGGTGTGGCACGGTAAGAAAAGCAGTCGTTATGTTGGCAATACGACGACTACCCTGACGGGCTGGCAGATTTTTCGCTCATGCTTGGAAGACACCTGAGCCAGTCGATCAGAACTACCGCGCCAGCATGAGGGAGACGTTCGAAAAAGAACTGCGGATGTTGCTTGGAGCACTTCCTGCCCGATTGCACACCACCATTCAGCGATGCATTGACTCGATCGATGCCATATTCTCACTTCCAATGGTGATTCTCCACCAGGGCTTCGGCACATGCAACATCATGGTCGACGAGACGACTTGCGAATTAGTCGGAGTCATCGACTGGGCCGAGGCGACAATCTGCCCTTTCGGATTGAACCTACATTCTCTGCAGACTCTCACCGGTGAACTCAATCTTCGACGAGGCTGGATGAGATACGACGACTATCACGATATGCACGGCATCTTCTAGGAGACCTTCGAGGATGAAGTCGGCGGGGTAGAGGAAAGCTTCATGGAAGCTATTCGCATGGCCCGAATTGTCGGCTTGTTGCTCTCGAAAGGATTCACTAGTCGCCTGGAGGCGGAGCCATCTCCCATTGGAAACGATGAACGTGGCCGATATAATATGTTGTCACTTGATGGGTTCTTATTAATCCCCGAGACGAAGTTCGAGGGCCTCCATTGACAACAGCCACACGCAACACGCAGTCCATTTTGGAGACTCACTGGCATATAACAAGATCAAAAGACACTATGAGACCAGGACATGGGGAAGCTGCCAGAGCGCTCTCCGGACGCCGCACTGAACGATCATGGCAGTATGAGGAGCCCCGGGATTCCCACCCGATAACCATCAAGGGCGCGAACGACAAATGCAACAAAGATTCGGAGAAAGTCGGTGGAATCCCCTTCTACATTCATGTCGGAACAGGCTACGAAGCCTTTGGTGCTCCCCGTATGGGCGAGCAAGGAGCAAGTTGAACACATGCAGACAATCGCACCGCCAGGTTGAGTGGATGAACTGGCGCATGAAACATGACTCCATGCCGTAGCTCCTACCAAGCCCTTGACAGCAAACCATGCATGCGTATAAGCGAGCGACCAAAGCGCCTACGGGTGAATCCAAGCCCCAAACGCCACGCCTCATTAAGCTTCAGAGTGCGCCTCGGACAAGAAGACGTGCACGAGGCAGAGTAGGGACCCGACTCTTGCGGGGGCGGGTTCCTGTTTCTCGCCGCCGCCCGAGAATGCACTATGTTCGAATCGGGAACTACCATAAATGGGCTCGCAAGACGCATTGCTTTGACCCAAGAGTCGGGATAAAGACGTGGGGTACAACGGGCATTCAGAAACTCATACCCATCAATACAGAGAGCGATGCCTCCTCGGTAAATGTTCAGCCTGGGATCTGTAGACTCAAAGTCATAGCAGTGGAAGAAAATGGATGCGCTTTCTCACTGCAAGACCCGACCGTCCGCGAGCGCCGGCCCTGCATTAGTTGTTGTTTCTCATGTATGGTGCACAGCGTTTGGGGCGCCGGCTATGTGTTCTGTATCATTGAACGGCATTGCGAGGGCGTGGGCCGCATGCTGTCCGAAAGGGAGGCACTGGCCACTCCATGACTTCAGCACAACCTCAAACAACGCCTGGGGACCTGATGCAAAGCGGACCAACGTCGATTGTGCGACAAGCACTCCTCAATTCATCGCTCCTTGGTTCCCGGACATCGATTCACAACTGATGCGGGAGTGTGGGAGCCGCATGCTTTCATGGTGCGTGTCGCATATATAGATCGCAGTGCTTCCCTTCAGAGCACGTACAAGAGGGCTGCAAAAGCGAAGACACTAAAAGACAGTGGCATATATCCTCTACCATACTCACTGCATCGCCTCATTTATACATCATGCGAGCTCTTACTCTCCTCACACTGGCCGCTCTCGGCAGGGCAGCTACGGTCCCCAGAAGCGTCGCCGACGGCATCTACGGAGTGTCCTTGGACGCCCGCGGCCAAGAGGTGCACACCCGCCTCCCAGACCGCGGCAACCTGACGTCGCCACAGGACCTCTCCACCTACGACAGGCGAGAGGAGAAGCACAACTTAGGCAGGACCGTGGACGACCTCAACACATACTGCACGTGCAACGTAGACCTCAAAGTCAGGGACACCGACGACGCGGTCATAGATCTCCGATTCCAGCTGGGGCCGGGGGGCAAGAAGTTCGACTTCATGTCCGTCTACTCGAAGAGGGGCAATGTGGTCGCCTTCGCGTGCAAGGACCCCAAGTTCCAGTGGGCGCAGGCGACGGGCAACGACTTGGGGCTCGTGATGCATGCGATTGGCGCCAGGTGCGGCCGGTACGTGGAGTCGTCGGCGAACTTCAAGGTCAAGGAGGATGGGACGAAGAGCGCGATCACCTTTGGCATCATGCGCCTGGACTCACCGGACCTGGACTTTTGCGCCAAGGCCACGGCGTCGCCGAAATCGACGTGCGTGCACTGAGCAGTGAGATGTGTGGGATGCTGGCGCGAGCCGAGTGAGGCCAAGGTGGTGGTCGTCGAAGGGGACCGAGAGTCAAGTTTTGGTGTAAAGAAATTCAATAAGCAGCCGCCAGCCGGCTTCTGGAGGGTTTGCGGCGATTATGAGGTGCCCAAAGTGAACAATTAAAAACTGAAGCCTTGTTAGTGAAAGGATGATGGACGGGAAAGATGCCGCGTTTGTCGATGCAGCGCGCTGAGCCGCGTCTCGTCCCGCTCTGCAGCCTTCCTCCCCCGCCGCCGCCCAATCGGGTGCCTGCGCCCGCCCGCCCATCAACTGAGCTACAGTGGAGCCGGCCGTCCGAGGCTCAGGTGCCCCGTGCTGCTTGTCTCCTTTCAGTTCGGACCCTCAGAGAACAAGGAACGAGGCAGCCTACGAGTGCATACATCACCGACTCCGGTCCCCCGCCACCCCTCGTCATCGTCGCCATCCTCCAAGCATCGCCTAGACGCCCCTGTCGCTCGGCACTCTCCTCGGTATGGCCCATCCTGACGAGCTCAACCTTCTGGTGCGACTCGAGGCAGCTTCAGCCATAGCCTATCCTCAAAAGGGGTCGAGTCTATGGCTTGAAGCTACCCAGCCCGCGACGCGACGACGCACCATTGCTAACACGTCAGCTCCTTTTACAGAAACCCTTTCTCGAACACCCGTGAACGTCAAGGAACCCCCACCGCAACAATGTCTGAGAAGCAGGCAGAGACCCCGTCTGCCCCGCGGGAGAAGCTCGAGGGTAAGCTCCAACAGCTTCGAATACCCAAACATGTTGCTGACAACCATCCAGCACAGATTAAGTCTGCCGACATGGTGAGGCGCCTCGACCCGAGACCGATGTGGCCCTGTGGCTGACGCGAACAAGACGGAGGACATGCAACAAGAGTCGATCGAAGTTGGTGCGTCTACCCGGCTCCATGATGAACCAACCCCCGCGCGAGGCTGACGAGACGGGACAGCCCAGGAGGCCATGGCCAAGTTCACCATCGAGAAGGTCATACACACCACTTCTGGCCAGAGTTGCGGAGAGCGTGCCTGCTGACAGGGTGAACAGGACATTGCTCAACACATCAAGCGCACAGTGAGCACCCTTGAGCCGCAGCTCCCCAGCTTGCTGGCCGCAGCCTTGTGCCACGACTCGACTGACTGGAGCAATGTAGTTTGACGAGCGCAAGGGCCCGACCTGGCACTGCATCGTTGGTCGCAACTTTGGCAGCTTTGTGACGCACGGTACGTTTAGGCATGGGAGAATCACCTGACATTGTTCCGCCGCCCGCGTGGCGATGACGGACTGACAAGGCCGCTGCACAGAGACGAAGCACTTTATCTACTTCTACCTCGGCCACTGCGCCATCCTCCTCTTTAAGACCCAGTAGAGCCCCGACCGAGACGAACGACGCACCCGATCCACGAACCACGAGTCACGAATCGAGCGAGCTGTTTCCCGCTGACGACATGATGAGAGTCGAGCGGTGCGGGAGGGGCGGACACGCGCACGGGGGGGAGCTGGGACTGGACGCCTTTGACAGCCACGCATAAGAGAGGGACGATTTTGCGTGCCATGCTGCGAGCCGTCTTGCGTACGACGATTTGCGTGCGTTTGCAGATGCTTGAGAACAGGAAGCGTTGCGTTTCGTTGCTTTGCGTTGCGCTGTCATACTCGCTACACTGCGCTCATGAAAGATTCGAAGAAGCTCACTCCGTCCCCCTTGCCCAAAGCTCTGGCTCTGTGATGGAGATGACACCCGAGGAGCCCTTTTAAGGCTTCGTGGGACCAGACTCGTGAATCCACACCAATGAGCACTGACTCGGTTCCCAACGGCGGCATGTCTCAGGAACACCCGGCCGGGGCGTGGTTCCGTCTGCGAGACCTCGAGACATGCAAGCGAGCACGCCTGCCGTCCATTCGACAATCGTCCGGATGCCACACCATCTTTGCGGCCCGACTGGCATCCCCTTTGTCCCTCCTTTGTCCCCTGATGGTGCGCCTACACGTGCGAATGCATCGCATCCCACCCCCACGCTCTCGGCGAATCGGTCGTCACGAGCGCATTGCTCAGTAACGTCCGAGCTGCACTGTCGGATACCGGTCTGCAAGGGACATGGGCCATGCTGTAAAGCCGAACCGTGACTGTCCTTAGTTCACCACTACATACTAGCCGCGGACCCCATCGAGTGATGTGGTCTCATGACGGGGCCGTTTCCATGGCGTGGCGGTCCTGCAGGCCGCCACTGTTCGGCCGTTGCTGGGTTTCCTGTCTGGGCAATTGGGGGGTTGCGCCGGCCGATGCTAGCTTCGCGAGATGCATCTCCCGCTTATGGAAGGTCGTCGCAGGGACGGTCTGCAAGCTTGCTGTGGCGAATGCGCTCGTCGAGAGATGGCGTTGTTGCTAGCCGCGGGGAGGCCATCCATTTCATGGCTATTTGGCTATTGTGTCCGTTCTCAGAGGATTGTTGCGATCAGCAGCTCTCAACGCCATGGCCTACCCTCAGTCGTCCTGTGGTACGTGCAATGCGGCGCAACATCGCGGCGTACCTCTTTAGATGGGACGACTCGGACGTCGACAAGGCGATTAGCCACATGAAAGGTTGCCCTCCATGTTGGCGACACAGTCCTGCCAGGGTCCTGCTGTCGTTCCATATCACACAAGCGTAAGCGGGGGACCCCCGGCATGATCGAAACAGCTTCCCCCACCAATTTGTTGCTCAAACAAAGGATCACAAATAGGGATGTTACCGGGTATGCAAACACGTATTAACTAGTGGCAGTCTATAAGGACGCGAGGCAACATGAAGCCGGCGGCGTCATGGGCGCCGTCCCCAGTACCCGGGGAGAGTTGTAGAGTGTTTGTACCATGCATGTACCGTCCGTTGCCGGGATCGACATTGCCGACGGCAGGTGAGGTAGGCCTGGTCAAAACTACGTACTTCTCTTCACTCCGGGAGGGTGTGCGTAGGGGCATATACTACTCTCGCTCAGTGACCGGAACTGGAACCAACGAGAGATGTTCGCGGCTACGTATCCAGTCCACCAAGGCTGGAAGGCTGAAGATATTGCCTCTCACGCGCGCCTCCGGGGAAGCACAACCAGCAGCCCGACAAATGAAACAGAAGAAAGAACGGCCACCCAGCTCAGTGAACCCGAGAGGCCCAGAATCCGGAAGAGCCTACTCGCCCCCATGGCAAAAAAGAAAACGAACCATGGAGGAAAGAGGCTGGGCGGTGGGTGGTCGCGTGGCCCGGGCCGGCGCGCGTCAGCCTCCCGGTGGCTTACATGGCTTGCGACGTGTTGCTCGCGCCGCCACGGGCGTCTTTGGCCTACTGGTACGAGAATGTGTTTCCGACGAATTGGCGAAAGAAGAAACGATCCAGATACAAATGAGCCGAAATAGCTCAGACAGTGCATACACTTGGGCGGAGTGTCGACGGCGATTCCCCCTGGTTGCTGGATAAGAAGAAGGGTAAATTCACGCGTTCTACGGGTAAGGGGGGCTCGCCATAGTGGTAAAACCACTGGGCTGGATGTAGGAAATACGTCTGGACGTCGACAGCTTTTACAGTGGCTCTGTGAAGCTATCTCGGGAGCCCCCTGAACGAAGTCGTACCCTGTGATGAACCTGTTGCTGTTTCCCGGTAAAGAGAATGTTATATTGAGCACACTACCAGCTACGCATGTACTTTTTCTCGCCTTATACCGTGTCCGTTCTCTCATCAGTGCTACCGCTCCGCACACTCGTCTTGTCTCCCTGCTGCCGACCAGCCCCCTTTCTCTTCCTCCTGAGCACCATCCACGCCAACCCTCCCACCACAGCAACCACAGCCAGCGTGACCATCGCGCCGATGAGGCCCGCCACGGCCTTCGAAATGCCACCATCGCCGCCACCCCCTCCGCTGTTCTTCTCCGCACCTCCGGCCTCGCCGTCGTCGTCGCGGTACGCCGCGCAGAATCCGGCCTTGGAGTCGCACTTGTCGCACCAGTCGCCCACGTCCGTGATGGCGCGCTTCTGCATCTCGCTCACGAAGCGCGGCCAGGGCAGCGACGCCTCGCCCGTGCCGAACAGCGGGAAGCCCTTCAGCGTGCCTGCCGTGCCGTTGCGGAACAGCCATCGCACGCGCAGGTTCGCCGCCGGGTCCGCTGGGAATGACTTGTCGTCGTTGCCGTCCGTGAAGAGCTCAAACGCCATGCTCGACGCATACTCGGGCAGGCCGTGAAAGTCAGCCCCCGTATCGAGCAGACCCGTGAGCCCAAAGAACGCCAGGAACGTGTCGTAGCTGCCCGCCAGGAGGGAGAGCTTGGGCGTCGCGCCGCGCGACGACACCGTGGCGTTGAGCTGCCGCAGAACGACGCCCGAGAGCGTCTTCGCACCCACCGCGCGCATCGGCTCCGAGGCATTCCAGTTGAGCCCCAGCTCGGCCGAGTCGGCGAGCGTGCGCAGCTGCGCGAGGTCCTCGTCCGAGACGTTGCGCGCGGGCGACGTCGCGTTATGGATGCGCGCCACGTTGACCAGGTCGAAGACGTCAAAGGCGCGCGCGTACGACACGTCCTCTCGCTTGAGGTTGTACACGCCCGGAGCCAGCACGTCGTAGAAGCGCTCGTAGAACCCGCGCGTGGCGTCGTCGCGCGCGCGGAACTCGTCGCTGCGGGAGAAGCCCTTGGACGAGGCCGTGTAGGCGGGGCACTCGTCGTCGCCCTTGATCCAGATGGCGTCGGGGGAGTTGTCGTTGACGCCGTGCAGCACGACGTACTGGTAGCCGCCGAGCGGGCTGGTGCTGTTGGTGCCGTTGTTGAGCCCCTGGGAGGCGACGTCCGGGGCCACGTCCTCGAGCGGCGGGTAGAGGCCCTGCAGGAAGGCCGTCGCCGTGTTCATGAGGATGCCCTGGTCGGGCGCGCTGGCAAAGACCTGCGACGAGACGTACTTGTCCTGCGAGATGCCGCGGATGGCGTCCGGCGACGAGGACGACAGGTAGCGCTGGCGGTACGAGCCGCCGACCTGGTAGTTTTGCTCCGCGCCGAGGCTCGTGAGCGCCTGGGCCTTGTACCACTTGGTCGTCCCTGCGTGTCACGGATCTGGTCAGCCGAAGTTGTCTGATTCATTCAAGCCCACTGGCGTGTGAGAGAGTGAGTATAAGAGAGAGAGAGAGAGAGAGAGAGTCTCACGGTCTCCGTGGCGAGTAAAGACGAGTGCGCCGTGCACCGTCACTGCCGCAGCCGAGCCGGCCAGGCCAGCGACGGCTGCGGCCAGAAGCGTCGCAGAATGCATCTCTTTGTGCGAGGGTATCTCGGCTACGTGGCTCTCACGCTTTGGTTGTGGTGTAGTCTCTCCCGTTTCCCGCAGGTTCAGATTTGATGCTGCAACACCACGACGGTCCGAGACATGACAACGTCGGCTTATAAGGCGTCGAGGCGACAGCCCGCCTAGGGAGGGGAACACGCCGACTGCCGTGCCGCCATCGCCACAGGCCGGCGTCGAAGAACTGTTCTGTCGCTGATTCCGCGCCTACCCGTGCCTCGTTCGCCGTGGTGGTGGCTTTTCGCCAAGACGTCTCCCCCGCGCGTGGCGGTCGACGATCCCGCCCCGGTTTGTTCAAACTGCGCACTCTAAATCAACTGCCCTCTTATCAGCCGTATGCATGTTTTTTTGAGCGGAAGGGTTGTGCGCCCTTCAGTGCGCGGAGATGCGCATCTCCTCCTGTCCCGTGCTGTGATCGCGACTGTAGGCTGGGCGGATGCGGCATGGGTGGCCTTGCATCCCATAACGATGCCACTTGATGCCATTTTGGGAGAGATAGCGGGCCATTCGAGGTGCCTCGACCGTCTGGCCCATGTTTTTGCCCTGTTGAATCGAAGGGCATGTGGCGCTTGTCCTGAGTTGTAAACGGAATGTGCCGTGTCGGGGGCCCGGCTCGTTTATTCGCTTCGTCTGTCGTCTATGAAACCCGCGTCTCCGACGACCCGATCGATGCCCATGACATTCGCTTCGGCAATGGGCACGAGATTGTGTTTCAAGATGCGATACGTACTGTACTGTAACGGAACGACTCAGATCATCTGATGCCGCTGCTACGCCATTGCAATGCATGTACGTCGACGAGCCACTCATAGCCATCATGGACTACTCCACGCCAGTTGGCCGGCGGCGCATGGCGGGACGCTGGATTAAGCTCAGTCACCACCACCACGCCCTTGTTGGAAGCAGTCAGAGTTGCGCGGGCCGTTGAGGAAAGGCCAACAAACAACCGTTGCAGTCTGTCTGTCTGTCCAATGTCTGTCTGTCTGTCTGCTGTTTGTCCATCCGTACAGTACCCTGCACGCCGCGGTACTTCACGCACCCAACACGACACCCGTTCCCCAGTTCCAGGCCATTGCTCATGGCCGCCACAGTAAGCGAGCCGGCGAACGAGTGAGGAAGCCGGGCCAGGCAAGCCACCCCAGGCGCTGCTGCAGCCACGCTTCCACCTGCCCAGCCCGGCGGCTCACGCCAACGTGGCGGACGGACGAATCGCGCCGAAGATGGCGTCCGGGGTGGTTCTCGAAAGTCGGTGTCGAGAACGCTCCAGGGCGGGGCACCGTCGGGGAGGGACGGATGGGAATCTGGATGGATGGATGGATGGATGGACGGCAACAGCACGGCGGCGGGCGTGGATGCGTGAGGTGCTGGTGGGTGGTGGCACCGTCGACTTGGACTGGGCTTGGGGGGGGGCGGGTTCCGGGACCGGAACCACAGCAGCAGCAGCAGCACCACGCAGCAGCATGCACGAACTCAAGCACGATGACCGAGGACCCCTCCCTCCTCCCGTCCCCGTCCGTGACACGATCCGTGCAGGCAAGCTGGCCGAGACGGAGCAGGCCCGGGGGGGAGGCGAGGCTCCCTCCATGGCCGCGGGCACGAGCGGACCGGGCCACCCTCTGGCACTCCTCGATCTCGTTTTGGGGATTGGATGGAGAAAAGGCTCGCCTCGGCTCTGCGAAGCGGTCAAAGGCAAGACGGACAAGAGAGAAAGAGAGACGAAGCAAAGAGGCAGAGTGAGAGAAATATCGATCCCGACATCAGGCTCTCTGTGCCCCAGTCTCGTCTCGGCCACCATGGCGAGGACGACCACCACGGCGAACGACGACGAACGGGTTGCAGACCCTGCGGAGCCAGCACCTCGACTAGCGATGCGAGCGAGGCGGCGCCATGCCCCATTCGCATCGAGTGCAGCGGGCTGGTCCGGCGGAAGCGGAGCGCTCGCTGGCTCGCTGTCGCTGTCGCAACAAGCATGGAACCGAACGACCGCATGCCCGAGTGCTCGCATTCGGCGGGCAGGGACAAGCAGGCGGCCCAGAGAGCTGCAGCTTGCAGTCACTCGACGAGGCACGGCGGCGACATTGTGCCGCACGCACACGCACGCATGACATGCGCTCAATTGTACATACGTACGCACATACATATAGACACACAGCATTGCGCTGTGGTGTGAGCAGTATGATAACTTGCCAATGCCCTGCATTGGCTGCAACGACAGCCAAGACGGGGCCACGGCAGGCATGATGATGCAACTCGTATCCCAGTGCCTCATCGCCAGCCCTGACACAGCCATGGCGGCCGAGGGAGAGGAATTAAGCTTCGAGTTCGCGACGCAACAGCCGAGCAGCCCATCAACTCTCCCTCTCCTGTCCTGCTGGCGGGGAAAAGAAGACGCCCAACGCCCTCAGCTCGGCCGGACCAAGCGTTTGTGCGACCAGTCGCCTGTTGTCGCCCGACTCAGATCCTGCCGCGCTGCGTTTTGTGTCTCCTCGGCCCTCGAGTCTCCGGCCTTGGCTGGGAGCGCGCGACGCCTGGGCCACCCGTCTCCGCGCTCTGAGCAGCAGTCTGTCCTGTCAAGTACAGTACTGTACGGCACAGTAATACCGAGTGACTGGCGCTTGACGACTGAATGAGTCGCCAATCCCGTATGTGCATGGAGGAGCCTGCAACGTTGGATGAGATGAACCAGCCGCCGTGGGCGATGTCCTCGAGAAGCGCCCTTGTCAGCCGGGGTCCTGTCAGTTCGGCGCATGCCATCCAGGATGCTCGTTAGACCAGGTCTCTGTCGTTAGCCGGGCCCCCAACGGCCGATGGGACCAGGGCGACTGCCCAAGGGCAGGGCAAAAGGATGGATCCCCTTGTCCAGCCGCCCATGTCAACCATTGGAGGGGCTCGTCGCGCCGTTGCCCTCGATGCCGACATTGCTCTGGACCGGGACTCTGCTGCTCTTCAGCTCGTGGGAGCATTCGAGGGAGCAGGCAGCCCGGCGCCTCGGCAATTATTGCCCTCTGGACGGCGGCGTGTGCAACGCGGCTGGATAGACGGCTGAGTGGGGGGATCCCGAGCCCTTTATGGTCGGCGAAATGAATGAGGAATGAACCGAGAAGCCGCCTGTCTTGGATGAGCCTGGCCACGTCGAGACATGGGCGTGGTTCCCCATGCTGTTGTGCGAGGTGCAATAAGACGTCGAGCGATCTCGCATTCCTGCCCGCCTCTGCTCTGATGAATGCCAATTTTCAGCCTCGTAATAAGGCACACGACAATCGTCAAGGCCCTTTTCCTCCGGCGTGAAACATCACTGGCGGCCCGGCCAACGCTGACGCCGCGACCGGTGCTGAATGCCAACACCATGAACATGTAGAGTTGCTTATCAATGCTTCGCTGAGAGTCTCTGCGCGCCCGCAGTCGGTGGAGACGGAGACGGCGAATCCGTCGGCCACATGTACCGCGGGTCGCGCCAGCCTTCAGAAGCAGAGATACTCCGTGCTCTTGGGATCACCATCGTCCGGGGAGCGCGTTGCTCGCCCGCTGGTTTGTGCCCCCGAGGCCCAGCAACGCTGCGTTGAGGCACAAGGGTGTTTCAGGAACAGGGCCATACATTGTCGATTTCGTCGTCGAACCAACGCACCCTTTGCTCCCTTGCGTCGATGCAGCCCGCTACAGTGTCTCGACGCAGAAACGGCGCCAAGGACGATGCGATGCGCCGCCGCAACCTCTACCGTCTACCGGGCCGATCCCTGGAGAAGGGCCCTCATCAGCAGCAATGGGGAGAGATACAAGGAGACGCACCGTTTCTCATCGACGGTTCCGCTCCTCGTCGGCGGGTGCATCCTCCGTGCCCAATTCTGGTCGTGGCCGGGGATCGCATCGCTCGCAGTCTGACCCTTGCTGCAGCCACACCCCTCCCCACGCGAGACAAATGTCGATACCTTGGCGGTACCTCGTGGCTGCTCGACCTCCACCCGACGTCTGCTGATAAATTGCGGGCGGTGGTGGGCGTCAGAGACGGCCATCCCTTCAGAGAGGCGCCCAGGCCGTCGCAGCAACGTCCTGTAGAGCACAAGTGTCACGGCACCAACACAATGTGACGTGCACGACGGCGTGAGTCGAGCTTTGCAGCTTTGCCGTGCGTTCAACAGGCTGCCGTCGAGAGTGTGACACAAGGAGCGCCGGCGTATCCAGCCTGTCGGTCTGCTCGGCTGGCTGGTGATGTCAGCTTCAAGCACCGACAGGGAGCCCCAATTAGTCGCCTTGTCTCGTGCCACATTCTCCGAGCCTGGGCTGTCTCGGGGCCCCGCCCGCCTCAGCAGCCCTCCCACCAAAAAAGGCGGCAGGGGCCGTGAAGGCGTGCAAGAATAAATGTATATGCTCCTTGCACGGACAGGTTGGCTGGCGATGCAGCTCGGCAGCAGGCTATGTCGCCTTGAAGGCGAGCAACGCGACTACTTCGTAAGGGCATCCGTTATCCGCACCAGTCTCTTTGCCGCTGCGTCCATAGAGTTCGGCAGAGAAGAGCAAGTCGGGCTGGGCGGGGGGAGTTGACGGCGGGCATGTCGCAGGTTGTCGAGCCTCATTGGGAAGAGGGACAGCTCGAATGGTACGTCGCACAACATGCCGCTGGCGCACTTCTCAGAGAATTGGGGATGCGGGCGGTCCTGCAGGTGTCGACCCATCAATAGCAGGCAGCACACACGGTGCCGCCCGAGGGGTGCGGAGAGCCAGCAACGGCACTCGCTCTGGCTTGTGATTGATATGCCGCTGTCCTGACCGAGTTCGACGTGCGGTGGCCGGGCAGCCCGATGTGGTGCTGACTTGGTACTGAAGGGCCAGTTTCAGCCCGTATCCTCGAGCCTTGGTCGACCGTGAGGCTGCAAAGGATCAATGGCATCGCGGCCGCCTGATTTGCCCAGAGCGAGTGGTGAGACCTGCCAGCGCCCATCCGGGTCGCTGACCGAACAGCCGCAGAGGGGAGGGCATCTTGGCTCGCCTGGTGCGGCAAGCAGCTGACTGACTGGCCACGCCAAGTCGGTGACGCTCGATGCTGGTTGCACAGCCGTCATGGTGGCCCTGCCCGCCTGCGCTGCTCGTGTGGCCCTGGCCGTAATCGTGACCGTGGCCGTGGCCGTGACCATGCATGGCCGCTCGTACTTGTTCGTCACCGCGGGGGCGGCCAAGGCCTTAGCACTTGTATTTGTAGATGTACATACTGACTGGAGACTGGAGCGAGGCGGGAGGGCTACCGCGAGACGGGAGCGATCTGCTGGCGGGAGTTCCATTCGCAGCTCCAGCCGGCTCCGTACCTCGCGAGGAACAGACCAGACCAGGCACGCGGGACCGGGAGGAGCGCGAGTGAGTGACGGCGGCGGCGGCGGGGAGGGGTGGCTTGTCGAGGCAAAGTGTGGCAGTCCAGTCGTCCAGGGCTGGTGGGGGGGCTCGGAGGGCGCGGCTGATTGGACGCGCCACGGCAGTGTGTCAGCTCGGCGAGCCTTAGCGGGCGAGGGTTGACGCGAATGGAAGCGGGCAGAGCCACGTTCGGGTCCCAGTTCCCGCGCGAGGATTGCCGTTCCGCCGTGCCAGTCCGCATGGGGAAGCGTCTTTGGGGGGGCCATCTTTGGGGGGGGCATCTCGGGTTGCGTGGATGGACGAGCGTTCGTGTCCGATGTACAGTATCGCGGCTACGAGGAGTGTGCTCGATGACTCTTGCGGCCTCATGGTGTCGCCGTAAGCAGAATGTCTACTTTACGCCTTGCTCGTGTACATAAATGTATGAGCCATCAAAGGCAGAAACGGAATACACGGAGCCCCGCGGTAACATGTTGGGGCGCTCGCAGTCACGGTCGGATGGCCGGGGCCCATGGAACCATGGAAACCATGGAAAACTAGAAGAAACAAGACGGGACGCAGCACCGGCGGCAGCGGCGGATGTTCCTGGCGTGCGCCCGCCGGCCTGCAGCGGGACGAAACAAGAACAGACACCAGACACCAGAATCAAACGTCAGCCAGCCAGCCGCGCCAGACACGGACTCCGGACGGCGCAGAAGACTCGTCAAAAAAGGTGACAGCTTCGAAAGTAGCCCCGGTCGGCAGCCGTCGGCAAACCCGAGGCCCAGGCACGCGTTGCATCGCGGGCAGCCACTGGCCGGTTCAGCCAGCCAGCGATGAGCCTCTGTGCGTGAGCGTGCAGAGAGAGACAGGTGCTACGAGATCCGGACCTGCAGCCGTGGCTCACGCATGGCTGCGACCACCGACCGACGGACCTCGCTGCACCGGCGAGGCCCAGGTACACCACCTGCCCGTGTGTGCACGAGAGAACCTTGAACGATGCGAGGCACCAATTTGCCTTTGGCCTTGCTTCTGGGGCAGACCCCGTCCGTCACCACCGTTCGAACACGCTCGGCGCCTCGCACCCAAACCCACCCACGGTTCAACAGGAACGAAATCTAAATTTCGGCGGGCCATGAATTCTACCTTCCTACCCGCGTAGGTACCGTACGGCGCAGTAGAGTAGATGCCCAGCGGCGCCCAATAACCTTGAACGAGTCTGTGTTTGCAAAGTCCGAGATATAATAGACCCCACGTCTGCGTCGCGGAAAACCCTCAAGAGCCCATCGTCATCTGCGGCGCCCGCCCCGCGGCCGCGGCAGCGTCTGCCAGCGAGATCGCGGTAGATCAGGCCATCCATCCATCGATGCAACGACGTCTCTGCTCCTCGTGCCTCGTGTGACGACGACGACGACGACGACGACGACGATGAGGAGCCCCGACACACGGCCACCGGCCACCGGCCGAGCCAGCACATTCTCCTCAACCCTGGCCGCCTGTCCATCCGCCCGTCTGCCCGTCGTGTCCGCCGTCGCGGTAGCTGCCCGTGCCTCTGGCCGGGGGGGCCACCTCTGGTGAGGCACTGAGCAAGGTACCTCAGGTACCTGGCGTGTACTTGCGGGCCCACCGCTCGTGGCGGCCACTGGCGCAGGACCGCCGCCCGTACCTCGAAACCTTGCGCTGCAGTTTCTGGGCTGCGACGCCGTTTCCAAGAAAAGGGCTGCGTTGGTGAAGCACTCGGTTCCTCGCTGCCTGCTCTGATGTGTTGATGAGGCTGTTCAGCCCACGAATACGGACGGTATCGAGGCTTCCATCCATTGTCGTGGCAGCGAGCCTCGTACGGTGGACGTACCTTGCCTTCCATGGAAAACGGCAGGCACCGAACGCGCGCGCTCTGACATTGCCTGCGCTGCGCCATGCGTACCAGTGTCGGGAGCTATTAGACACTGGAAGGTCACCGCCCTGGCCAGCGGGCCCCACTGGGACCCGGCAACGTCCAAGGTTAATGCTAATGTTCTCCGGCGCACCCCAGGCAGGCTGGCAAAACATGGGCCGGCACCGTAATTAGGTGCCCGCGGGCAGTGCCTCACGTTTCGTCACCAGAGCGAAGATGGGGCTCGAGCTCGAGCGAGAGGGAGAGAGCTCGAGACAGGGCTGGCATTGCAAGGTACGAGGTGGTCGTCGCTGGCCCTCGCAGCAGCGCCAGGTGCCTCGCCAGACGCTCGCTTCCCAGTTCCCTCAGCCTGCAGTGGCTCTTCCATTGCTTTGCCTCACAACCGCACCTCGTCGTGACATGTACTCAAAGTACCTGGCCGCCCCTCGCTCGGTTCTTTGGTCGCCATCCAGCGCAGGGCAGCCGCGGGTGAAGGTGTGCTGCGTGTGGTACCACCTCAGCCTGCCACCCATGATGATGAGGCGATCCACCACGCGCCATTGCGCCCACGCCCTCCACCACGTCCACCTCCGCCGCCAACTGGCTGCAGCCCGAGCGAGCGGGTGAGCGAGTGACTGCGGCGGCCGCTACGTTGTGGTGCCGTGCCTCGCCTCGCCTGCTACGTACGGGTACCACAGGTACTACAGGTACCGCAGGTACCTTACCGCAGGCTACCCCCCCACCCCTGTCCCTGTCTCTTATACACATCTAGATGTGTATAAGAGACAGGTACTACAGGTACCGCAGGTACCTTACCGCAGGCTACCCCCCCACCCCTGTCCGGCCCTCCGTCAAGAAGCCCCAGCCCAGTCTGCCCAGCCCAGCCCAGCGGGCGAGGCAGTGGAACTCTAGGTGCAAGCAAGCTGCCAGTCCCCCCTCTGGTCCCTCTAGTCCCTCCGGTCCCTCCACTCCCCCGTCCTTCGCTCCCGCCCACCCACTGGCTCCATCCGTTCCCTCGCCCGGGCAGCCCAGCCCAGCCAGCCAGCCAGCCAGCAGCCCGCCCAGCCCAGTCCAGTGACGGAGACCGGCGGCATCTTCCCTCTCGTCGCCGTCTTCGCCCGCTTCTCGCCTTCCCTCCTCTCCCAAGCTCCAGCATCGTCGACCATCAACGATCCGGCCGGCCGACGAGCCCATTGCCTGCCTTCCCTTTGGCGTTCTCCTTCGGCCTGGCAATTGTTTGGTGCTCCCCCGTCTGCCGCCGAGTTGTGCACAGCTCAAACGCACCCTCTCCCCCGGGGGGACGCTGGGCAGCTGGTTGCCTTTGTTCTCCCGCTGGCTGCTGATTCTAGCCGACTGTTCAGCAGCCAGTCGCCTATTCACTCTACTGTTCCGCCGCCCGAACAATAGCAATCGTCGACAATGTAAGGTGCCGTTTGCTCGACCAAGACCAAAACGCCCGCTTCCACGCAGGACTTGTTCTCCCCCTCGCCCTCCTCATCTTCTTCCGACATCACCAACGCACGTCACGAAGATCTGCATCCACCAACACTCCCGCCCTCGACGACATCCGAGCGAACCTCACCACCAACACCCACGCCACGCATAAGCTCAGCTTGCCGATTCCCGTCGACCTTGACATACGCTGCGTCTCTGGCGCACGCACTCCACCATGAACTCTCTCAAGGTGCCCGAGAGCGGCCTCGTGCTCGACGGCGCCTCTGACGGCAACACCACCGTCCCTCCGCAGGCCTTCATCGTCTCCCTCAGCGACGATGTGGTCAATCAGATGATTCAGGGTGCTCGCAATGGCGATGATTTGCACCTTTCCACTGGAAAGAACCCAGTACGTTGAACCTCCAGCACCGCCACAGGCATTGATCCTCGTCTGTCGCCTGCACATAACCAGGACCAGACAATCCGGACGAACCTGCAATCACCTTTCCACAATGTTTTCGTGCACTGTCGAGCTAACTTTGACTTCCTAGGCTCTCCATGTTGGCTCCAAATCCCACCGAATCTCTCAACCCGTCGATGACGCTCCGCGCGACCTGTACCTCACTCAGCCCTTCGAGTCGACTCGCCGAGCGGAGCGAATCTTGACTACGAGCACTCTTTTCAAGAAGCTGAACCCTCGTCCTTCCAAGAAGCAGCCGGTCAAGACGGTCAAAGAAGCACCCAAGTCCAAGCCTGCAACAGCCACCGGCAAGAGCTCGGCCTCTTCGGGACTGGACAGCGACATTGAAGCACTCCAAAACGGGCTGGCAGCTCACGATGCCGCGCGGGAGAGGTATTCACCAATTTCCTCGGTGCCAGATGGCGATACGATACTAACGGCGTTTGCGTGCAGAGCTCAAGTGGTGGACAAGGTCCCCATCACCAAAACTGGACCTGGCAAGTCCAAAAGCAAGCCCCGACCCAGCTACAATAGCTTGGCTACCAAGTCGACGCCGACCACGCCTGCCGCCAACGGTGGACAGTCTCCGGTTCTCACAGCCTCGCAGCAGGTACTCGAGCGGAAGAAGGAGCAGCGAGTGGGGCTTGTGCACGAGCTCGCGGCCAAAGATCGGAGCACGGACTACCTCCGAGAGAGGTGGACAGGCAGAGACGAAGAGTTCATGTCGATGCTGGAGAAGACTGCCGACCAAAACTCCGATTCCAAGTTGTGGACCATAAGACAGTCTGGTTGGAAGGAGCTCGACGTCTGGAAGTACGACTACGCCTCCCAGGAAGACCGACAGATGGCAATCGACAGGGCCATTAAGCAGTACGACAAGCAGCGACTGTCCGCGAGCGAGATTCAGTGGCAGAGACTCCTTCCCGAAGAGGAGCGAGGCAAGGGAAAATGTCTCAGCCGCCTTCAGGCCAATCTTGCCCGCGGTCCGGTCGGACCGCCGCCCCCAAGAATTAAGGTAGAGGCGGAAGAGAGCTCTGCGTCCAGAGATGAGGGTAGTTCAAGCGACAAGGCCAAAACTAACACAGAGAAGATGCCTCGACCAGGTTCGAATTTCTTCCCCAAGCCGAAGAAGCCCCTGGCAAAGGACGCCCCGGCCAAGCGTGCGCCGAGCAAGCCGAAGGCCACAACCCAGAAGCCTTCTCCGACCAAGGCCAAAGCCGGCACCGGCAAGGGCAGCGGCGGCCGTGTGCTCTCGGCAGCGATCATCGAGAACTCGGATTCTAGCGGAGACGAAGCTCCGATCGCGAAGCCCGCACCCAAGCCACAGGCACAGGCGCCGAAGCCCAAGGACACCGTCGTCGTCAATACCAAGCCTCCGATTCGAGCGCCGATGAAGCAGCAGCAGCAGCCGGCAAAGCGCCCTCGCGAGGAGGAGGACTCGAGCTCCAGCTCTGGCACGCCGCTGTCGAAGCGGATCAAGCCCAAGCAGCCGCTGCCGGCGCCGGTGTCCAAGCCGCGTCTCCCCAACGCCAACGCTAACGTCGGCATGCCGCGCCAGGCAGGAACCGCAGGACCGACCAAGGCCAAGAACACGTCGCCGACCAAGTCGTCGCCGCTGGCCTCGTCGCCTCCCACCAACGCGTCGGATCTAGATGATGAGACCCCGCCGGCGACGACGTCCAAGAAACGCAAGGCGGAAAACGACGCCAAGTCGGGACCGGCGAAGCGACGACCGGTCGACAGGGTGCCAGCGGAGGTCCTGAACAAGGCCACCAAGTTCAAGACGTACTACCGCAAGTACGAGGCGCTGCACCACGAGATCTCGGAGCTGGACGACCCGCCCCAGTCGAAGCTGGCGGACCTCATTGACATGCGAGGCCGACTGGAGATGATGAAGCGGGAGATCTACAAGCAGTGCTCCCCCGACCGGGAGTAGAACTTCCTCGACGGGGACCTGGACGACGTGGACGAGGAGTAAGGGGAGGCGAGTGAGAGAAGCGAGAGGCGGAAGTGACGGAGACAGACTCAGGGACATGGGTTTGGACGATTTTGCCTTTTTGCTTTTGCAGTGCTTCGGCACGGACGGACAGGGAGCGTGCTGTTTTCTCTTGCGAAGACCATTGGGCAAACGGCGCACAGGATATGTCGGAATCATTTTGCATTTGCATGGAAAACCAGGGACAGGATGGGCATGCATGCACAGGAAAGTCACAGGGGCGAGACTGCTCAGCCCTGATCTGGGCGCCACGGCGCTAGGCGGGCATAGTCTTGTTGATTGATACCACCACCAGGCAGTGAAAAGCCTACAGGCAAATACAGAGAAGCGTTTGAACTCAAGAGCAGCTCGCTTGGCCGCGATGACGCCGCACGGAGGAGCACTTGTTCAACGATGTATGTCACGGTGGGACGAAGCGGGCCCCCGGCCAGCGGACCGGGGGGAAAGCTCCCAGGGCCTCGGGAGGACCCACGTGCATGGAGCCGGTCTGATGACGCCGTGCCACCGAGTACGAGTAAGTCGCCCCAGGAGCAAGATTAATGAGGGCAGTCGGTCATTCGGTCGTATGGATTATTACCAGGACCTCTTGGATCTGCTGCGCCGGACGAAGAGCGGTGAAACGCGCGGTGTGGAGACTTGGGTGCGGTAGGGAGTCAATTCGTCGTTCGGACATGGTTCTGTCATTGGGGTTTGGTTTTGGCGGGCCGCCAATCGAGCAGAGACACCATGATTGAGTGAATGTCCGTTCACCTTTGTCGGTCGCGAGAAGCAAGTAGCCTGGATGGCTTACGGGGGAGACGCGCGGCGACCGGGCCGCAAGCCTTGCCTCGAGTACCAGGTGTCTGCATTGGTGCTCACTACGTCGGCGCTGGTCGTCTTCTGGTACACGTCCCGTACTAGGTAGTAACTGCAGGTCGTGCTTTTGCCGTCCAGCGCTTCATCTTACGTAGGTACATACCTGGGTGCGCGTAGTCCTTTGCGAACGCACCGCAGCGGCAAGGGTACTCTCGCAGCCTGGCGGTCCCAACCCAGGGGACCTCCAGCTACGACTTCTCATACCTTCCGCCACATCTCCCGCGCCGTCGCGATTTGTGATTATGGTTATGCTGCCTTGTCAAATTATCATGACTACCTAGTACCGTACAACTCTGGCGGCGCTGGGTTTGCTTGCAGGGTAGGGTAGGGAGATGTCGATAATTCCGAGCCAGCGGCGTGGGCAAAGAAAAAGTGGGGACAGTCACTCACGGGAACTGCGCCAGAGGGAGAGGGAGATGGGATGGTCTGAACGATGCTCGCCCTCAGCTCATGAATCCCAGAGTCGTGGCTCGGCCGCTCCCCCTGCTGGTGGCGCGGCGAGCGGCGGCGGCGGCGAACAGGCTGGCAGCGTGCGCGTGCTCGTGCGTACAGTCCCACCCGGCCGGGTCGGGACCTGCCCTGCCAATGGGCGCCATGCCTGTCCTGTCTCGTCGCACCAATTTTTTCCTCTGTCGCTCGCTCTTCCCCTGGCCGGCCGGCCGTCGGCCCCCCCTCCCCGGCTCCATTGGAACAACAGCCCACTTGCATCCCCCTGGTAGTGGGGGTGGTCTTGGACCCTGGAAATTTTTGAGGGGCGGTGTCCCGTTCGCCGAAAAACCTCCAACAGCCGTCCTGCGCTGCTTTTCCCTTCTCATCGCTACTGCTATTGCTATTATTACCTGTACCGCGTTACCCCGGATTCTGGAATCGTCAGGTCCGTCCTTGGGTGGGGTCTGCGTCCGTGTGAGTGTGTGTGCAAGCACGCGTGTTGGCACGGCCGTTGTTGGAGAGAAAGAGATATTATCGTCACTTGTTACACCTTCGGCATCATGGACCGTCTCTGAGGCGCCTCGGCGCAGACGACGACACCTTCTCCCCTTCCCGATCCTTCGCTTCTCCCTCACTATCAGAAATTCAACATTCCCACACTCTTTACGCGCGTTGCGTACACGGACAAGATGGCTTCGCCGTCCGACTTGCCCCAGATGTGGGAAAAACCCACCTACGGCTCCCTTGTCGATGCCCTCGCTGGCCTGGAGCTCGCACCGCCGGTATGGAGCCATGATCGTCGCCGCGACGAGATCATCGCCGAGCAGGAGTCGCTCGCCACTCAACTCAAGGCCGAAGCCTCGCGGTACCTATCTTCCATCATCAAGAGCCCCCTGGACTGGCTCGCCGACGACGACGAGCGAGAGCACGTCTGGGAGCTGGCCAGCCGGCGCATGTCGGAGCGCTGTGGCCGCTCAGCGATGGGAGACATCACTCGCCGCTGGCCGTTCTCCCCTCGGAGTGACGCCGACGCACTCGGCAGCGAGGCCTCGTCTTCAAACCCGACCGCCCTGATGGCCTCGTACGAACCCTTTGAGCTCATCATCCGCGAGCCTGCGCTCACTGGAGACTCCCTCGGGTTCAAGACGTGGGGCTCCTCGTACGTCCTCGCGCAGCACCTGCCTCGTCTCGGTGCCACGTCCCTCTTCAAGTTCTTCGACGAGTCTCTCGGCCACTCACCGCCGTCGGTTGTGGAACTCGGTTCTGGGACAGGCCTGCTTGGCCTCGCTGCCGCCGCATTGTGGAAGGTTCCCGTCGCGTTGAGTGACCTGCCAAACATTGTGCCAAACTTGAAGCACAATGCGGAAGCCAACTCGGCATTGGTGGAAGCCAGGGGAGGTTCTTTGACGGTCGGCCCGCTGACGTGGGGAGGCGACGAAGATGAGATCGATCAGGAGCTTTTCGGAACTCCCTTTCAGTTCAAGGTGCGTGAACCCTTTTTGGGGTCTGTGCCGTTGCTTCATCAAGCCTAACAGCATATATTCAGATCGTCCTTGCCGCTGATCCCCTGTACGACGATGAGCACCCCGCGCTGCTTGCGTCCGCCATCGGACAGCACCTCGCGTTGGGCCCAGAGTCCCGCGCCGTCGTCATGGTGCCGCAGCGGGACGCCACGACTGTGCGCCTGCTTGCCGCCTTCAAGCAGGCCATGCTTGACCTTGAAGCGCCGCTGGCCTGCGACGAGGAGGATTTCCTGGCGGGTGAGGACGACTGGGAGGGTGCTGAGGAGGGCGGCGGTGTGCGCTGCTGGCTGGGCGTATTCTCAAGGGGCGGGACGCCCATGAGTCTCTGCTGAGGCTTCTTTTTCCTGTTTTCATGATTAGACGACTGGAACACGCGGGCATGCTAGACGGTGGCATGAGATGGCATTAGACAAGGCAACATAGAGGAGAAGGATAGACTAGCATATAGAGCGGAGCAATTTGTTTTTATCCAGCTTTGAACCAGCCAGCTCATAGAACGGGCCATGTCTTACGGCCAAGTTGACCTGCAAGCCAAGGCTGTAGATTCCTCCCACCAGCGGCGGCATTCGGATTTTCGTGTCGGCAGGAGAGGGACTAGCCACAGTCGAGATCAGGGACGATGCTGGATACATGCGGTATAGCTCGAGGATTCCCTCGACTTGACTGTCTCAGTCACACCTGTGGACAATACCCTTCCAGTAAGTCGAACGAACGCAGCAAATATCGATTGATTCGAGTCGTTGTGGCTGAGAAATCCTTGCTCGTCGGTCGGTCGGCTGAGTGGTTGACGATATCCTGGGCGAGGGAAGCAACTATCGCGAGCGAGCGTGACCCTATTGACTTGTGCCCTCAATATCAGCACTCGGGCTGTCGTCGGCACCCGGGGACGTTGAGGCGAGGCACGGTGTTTGTGTCCGACCGTAGCTAATGGCATCGGGTCATCGAGCTCGTGACGGCAGTTGATGGCACTGGCTGTGTCGACGTGTGGTGAAACGGACGGGATCTTTTGGTGACAAATCGGAACTTGGAGCAGCCTACTTGCGTCTTCAAGATTAGAGAACAATGATTCACGGATTGGGCTTCGGTGCACTGCCATTGAGTGGTGATGAGGTGTGAGTGCTGCGTGGTGGTGTTTGACCAACGCTGCGATCTAATGAGTCGGAGCCGCCCTCCCTCTGTCCTGATGTTTGCCCGTCATCAGCACGCCATATCCACCCAAGCTCTTCATCGTCGAACAGAAGACTCGCGTAGTCAGAGATGGTGAGTCAAAGACACACTGCAGCTACCGAAGGTCATCGTAACTCATTCTTGGATTTGGTGGTTGGGCACTGCCCACGCGGATGACTGGTCATGGCGTGGACCCCCCTTTCCGCCATAACAAAGGACGAAGCGTTTCTCCGACGCAGAGGGTCAACGAATCACCGACGCCCGACCCTTTGACGCAAGAAGCGATATTCCTGGCGGTTCTGCCATCGGGTGGTGCGGCGGCGGGGAGTAGACGTTAACATCGGCGGTTGTTGGCGTCGGCAGAGCCACGGGAGGAGCGCACTACCGGCTGTCCTTGCCGTCGCCGCCCGCGCTCCTGCTGCCCATGCCAAGTGCCGTCCACGCTTTGCGTCCACGTTGATTATCTTGATCACTGTTCACGCCGCCATCTGATCACACTGCCGTCTGCTTGCGTCTCACGCGTGTCCACACCCCTCGCTCAGCTGACGCCCACCCGTATTGTACACCATCCCTCGTCCGTCTCGAATTACTATGCAGACCGACTTGGAAAACACCGCTGTAGATGCTTTAACAATGAAGAAGCCATGAAGACACTCTATGCTTACCCCTAGAGCGCTAGACCTCTACCGCGAGAAGAATCATCTCTACCCCGTGAAACAACGTTCCCAGAATCTGGGCAAAACAGTCCAAAAATCATCACAGAGTTGGGCATTCTGGCAACTCTAGATCGGCTTAGGGGACATAGTAGAGCTCGACTTGGGCGGGAATCGTCGCCAAGCGGCGCGGCGGTCTCGTTCGGGAAGTCCAGAATCGGGACGGTTCTCTATCCGAAACTACTTGGGCGTGAATGTTCGACCGATGGTGCTCCTTGTTTGCCAGGCCGCAAGTTTGCCGGGGAATGTGTATTTCTGCTCGAGTCTCTAAAAGGACGAGCGTTTAGGCTCGTTCTCTCCTCTTTTTCTTCTCCTCGAGCACCCTCCTCTATTCTAGATCCGCGACTTACTTCGAGTACGGTCTGGCATCGTCGTCTTTGCATCTTGCTGCCCGGGGGTTCGACACCAATGACAGACACGCGAGTGTTTTGCTCATGAAAGTCGGTTGATGTTTTGCATCGTCTGGCCGTCTGGTTGTTCTACGACATCATCGTCACCGCTGGCGTTGCGTCAGGCAACTCGTCCTATCAGGCATAAAACGCGACACTTAGCATCAGAGCACCAGATTTACATCAAGTCACAGTCAAAAAGAAACAACAGTCTTGCCTCAGGTAATGTATGCCCCTTGTTCTGTTCAAGTTCGTGTGTGGAGGCATTGTTGTGGCGTTCGAAACGATATACTGACACGGGCATAGGTCCAGCCCCGAGAGGAGCGTCGTTCCCAGCAGTCCAAGTCGGCTACTGTTTTCGCGTCCGCGTCCGCACTGGCCGAGTCCCAGACGGGAGCGAGTGCGCGGCCTGAACAGGCTGACTCACCCCCCTTTCCGCCAGGCCTGAACACGGGACGAACCACCTGCCGCCAGCTGCGCGCACTCAGTGATTCACTCACCCGGCAACGCGTCCACCCGCCAGCCAGTCCCCCGTCCCCTCGTCCGACGTTTCTCTGTTTTTTTGTACACCAATCATCTCCCGGAAACCCTCCATCTCGTCCCAACCGCACCTGTCTCACCCATCGTTTGACTGTGAATCGAGCTCCCAAGTCTCTTCCCGCGCGCGCGCCAACGACCCGCTCCCGTCGCCCACCGCCTTTACTCATCACTCAATCACGGACATCTTCGAGAGACCCTCGAAATTACGCCGCTGCAGCCATGGTTGGATCCGCTACGTACACGGATGCCGAGATTGCTTGGATCCTGGACCAGGCCCTCGCGGGAACAAAATCTGCCGATATCCAGAATGGCTTCCGACGGTTTGGCCGGGGCCTCAGCGCGAGCCAGCTTCGCTACGTCAAAGGCAAATATGGCCGTGACCCGAGATTCAAGTAAGCATACCCCTGTTATTTTTGCCTACTCCCTCGTTCGTGAAGGCGGACTATTGTGGGGGAGATCGTCTTCAAGATGGTGTTGTGGTGTTGTCGCGTTGAGCCCCACGCACGACTCCATGTCCTTCCACGCCCACGAGCCGTTTGCTAACCCGCCATACCCAACTCACAGCAGCCCCCTGATTAACCGACCGGTCCAACCGATTACATCTCTTCCGAATACAAGTCCAAATGGCCCGCCTGCCTTCCCGTCGACGGAACCCTTTGTCACGCCGTCTCTGGCCCCTGCTCAAGTTCCCCTTGCCGCACCTGCTCCCATCATAACCACTGGTCCTGCTTCCATGCCCCCACGAAACCTCTTTCCTACCGGCCCATCAATTCCTTATCAGCCTGCCGGAGTCACACACCCCCGTGAGGGAGACCCGAGCGCCGGAGTTTTGCAAGGACAGCCTGCTGCCAAGCGTCAGAGACATGACCAGCAACCTGAGTATGCTCTCTCTGACCCGAGCCAGGGCAGAGACAAACAATGCTGACACCCCCATGGTACTACCATGCCAGCTCAGAGTATGGGTCTCTCAGAAAACCCAACCTACTACACCAACGAGGACCTCATGCGAATGGCCGTGGCGAGTCAACTCGCTGCCTACAACACACCACAATACCATGCGCAGCGCTTCCAAGCCGGCTACATGCCCGTCGATCCCTCCATTATGGCAAATGTGTCGCCAAATTTCGGTTTAAACATGCCAATATACCCTCAGCAGACGCCTCACTCGCCTTTCGTTCCTGGGCCCGGCACTGGCAGAAGCTCCGATGCATCTGCATCTGTCCTAGAGAACACCTTTAACCCGGCTCTCAACCCTCGTCCTCCAGCTTTGAGCAACAATGATGCGGCTGCACAAATACAATCAAATACATTCAACCAGACTTTTGGCCTGCATCTCCCGACTGCGAGCGACAATTTTGCGCCGGCTCAAGGACAAACCTCCACGTTCAACTCTGCCATGGGCTTGCACCTCCCGGTCGTGGATAACACTCTTCAACGCCAACAAGATCAACAACACCAACAAGGGCATTTAATCTCAGATCTGGGCTTGCATGCGCCCTCACCGAGCAACACGTCCATGCCTGCGCAAGAAGCAGCATTGACCGCGACGCACGGCTTGCACCACCCAAGCCCGGCGGCGATCAACGCCCCGGCCGAGGCCGCAACCCGACCCGCCCCCGCGACCTTTTTCG